TTGAAATAAAAAAAGAAAAGGACAAGCAGTGTAACAACTTAATCAGTCATAAAAATTTGAAGAGTGGATTAGATAAAAAGTTAATTTTCAATTCTCTCTGTGACAGATTATATTTAAAAAGTAGCTTTCCAAACTCTTATAATTCATTTTATTTTAAACGTACTCCACTCACATAGGGAGTAAGTTCTAAGATGAAGATTTGAATCTAGATCTCTTTGGTCCATGTTCAATTCTATACTCACCCTAATATAGGTATTTATGGCGGATCAGTTCCATGCTCTATTATGGATGCCTGAAATCATGGATATGAGGGAACCCTATATACAACATACACAAGGGTGGGGCAAAGAGGAGATGCCCTTGTATGTTGGATGTAGGACTACAGCAAAGTGCGAATAAGTGAAACTCCAGATACCAGTCCTGAGGATATGGGGTATGTCTCCTACTGTATACTGTGTCTCTCTTTTATCTCATGCTGCTCCACAGCAACTGTGTGGTGGTCATTAGATGCATTATATCATGAATTAATGGCCTATATTTGAACAGCTGCCTGAATTTACTACACTGATTCTAATTAATATCAACACTCAAGAAATTTATTTCCTCTAGTGCAAAACAGGCTTAAAACTATCAAAGAAGCAGAACTAAGAACACTCCATGCCCCATGGGCCTCCATAAATCCCATGAGTCATTTTGCTGACATTCTAGATTATGGATAGGGGAAAGAGAGAATGAAATGTTAGTGCTAGATTTCACACACACACACCCCCACACACACTGGAAAGTGCCTCGTTTATAAGCAATTACAATATTTAGAGTTATAAAATGCTGTTTAATTATTACTTGACACATGATAAGAGACAAACCATGTTTTTAGTGTTAGATAGATTATCTTTCCATCAACAAGAAGAGAAGCATTCCTTAGCATAACTAGTTTAAAGATAGGGAAAAACAGTAAAATGCTTTCTTCCTAATGCTGTTAAATATACACCAGTTACCATGAGAAATATGCAACCACAACATGCTCCAGTGTAGAGCTGCTGCAGAATCCAAGGATATTCAATACAATTGAGCAATAGTTGTCACTGTCTACAAGGGCTGAGACAGGTATTTAGACTAAATATGGCACTATGGAGGGGGGAAAAGGGGGATTATAAAATTTCTTAATGGAATATTATTGCAAATAATAATATGTCATGCCTTAAAAGGATCACAGAACATGACTGTGAATATTATAGTAGAAAAGAAGTAATTTTACATACTAGAACTAGTTCAATAAGGAGAACGCGAGGAATGTAATTTGCCTGTTCCTCCCATAAACGTTCTCCATGTATGTTTTTTCTCCTTAGAAGAGACCCTTTTAAAGATTACTGTGGGGCTGGTGGGAATTGCTGAAATCAACCTCTCCCAACACAGGGAGCATTCCTCTACTGAGGGAAGCATTAAGATTGAATCCTTGGCTCTGGGCTTGGTCTCTGTTATCATTTTGGACACCACACTGGTAAGATAAGTTTCTTTATTTGATTTATATACTACCCCTTCAGTGGAAACACTATTCTGGACAGTCTACAGATTAAAACTGAGAACCCCACATTACCCTATGTAACAATACAACCAATCTTGCAGTTCAGTTATATAGATCTAAAATTCATACAAAAAGAAAAAGAACAATTAGAAAATCTTAATATTAACAGCTGCCAAGGGTTACGTTATTGAAGGCAGCTTTCTATAATCCTGTTTTCATCAATTTCCTCAGTATTGGGAGGGAAGGAGACAGTGTATCTCAGTTGGAAGCTTATCCCAAAGATTGGGGGCCTGATTACTTGTTGTTGCCTTTTTGGCCTCAGTGTGGCCACTTTTAGCAACATCTACCTGTTTCACACGGATTGAGAGGACTGTGTAAAACAGGGAGATGATTCCTGAGTGAGAGATTCAGTCAAGTATCAAGGCCCTAAATCATTAAGGGCTTTGTAGGTCATAACCAGCACCTTCAACTGAGCATGGAAACTGCCAGGGATATATGATCCAATTTACTAGTCCCAGAAATCAGTCTGGCTGCCACATTTTCAACCTGCTGACATTTCCAACAACAGCAAATTCATTAAACTAAGGAGTTTGGTAAGTAATACTTATATAAACTTCACTGATTTAGTGGGTGTACTTTAGTCTGGATCAGGCGTCTCCAAACTTTTCACTGTGAGGGCCATATAATATATTTTCCATATTTTCGAGGGCCGAAGGAATCCGCGTCCACATGTACACATTCTTCCTGCCCACCCACCTGCCTGCACACACGCATGCCTGCACTCCCACCCGCATGCACGCCCACCTGCGTTCACGCCTGCCTGACCACATGGGTTGGGTGAAAAGGCAAGGTGGGCTGGATGTGGCCCACGGGCCATACTTTGGAGACCCCCTGGTCTAAATTATCAAACTCAGGCTTCTAAGCAGAGACAAGAAAGTGTGGCTAGGCATCATATTTTAGAAAAAAAAAGTTTTCTGTTCGAAGAGATATTCAACCCAAGTCTTGTTAAATGATTTTTTAAAATTATGATGTAAGAGTAAAAGGTTTTAAAACTTATTTTCTAGAATGCTCTTGGCAGAACTGTGATGATGATATCAGTTATGGGTGCTAATTTTTAATTTAAAACATCCTGTCTTCTCCACTTAGGTTCTGAAGCTCTCTAGGGATCCCTTCCAATCTGAGGAAGACATTGGAGCCTTGGAACAGAGGGTGGGGAGAAGCCTTTAATATCCAAAAATTGCAGCTCTTGGTCCTGCTGCCAGAATTGGAGCTGCCAGTGATTGTTTCTGGATAATAAATGTATTTCTCCACCCCAAATGACTCATGCAAGACAAATGTATTAACTCCAAAAGGTATATGAAGCTGAGAACAAAATAATTTCAACATAGCCAGCCAAACACATTTTGCAGCCTATCATGAAGGACACTCCCTATTCATTGACAGAAGCAGACCACCAGACTGTCAGTTGAATCTCACTTCAGTACAGAGGTAGACTGGATTAGGAGGTGTAAGGCAGCCAGCATGACCATGTGATATGCAGAGCTCTACCATTTAACAATCAGAACTGGTTTTTGCCCCTCTTCTCCAACAAACATCCATAAATTGAGACAACTCCTGAGTTTACCTAATGGTATGGCTGCCCCATAATTTCAACCATTTCAGTACATTTTTAGGAAACGTCTCTCCCCATATTTACATGTTTTACACTTCACCAATCGTAGGAAAAGGTTATTAGGATTTGTTTGAACACCTGAGTTTACCTAATGGTAGGGCTGCCCCTTAATTTCAACCATTTCAGTATATTTTTAGTATATTTAAGTGTTTTACACTTAGTATATTTAGTATATTTAGTATATTTAAGTGTTTTACACTTCACCAATTGTAGGAAAAGGTTATTAGGATTTGTTTGAAGTGTGCTGCATGGACCTCTTTGCCAAAGAAGAAACTAGCCATAAAAGCTTTGCTCTGTTGAGAGTAAGACTGAAACAAGCAGAAGCTGCCAGTGAATTTTTTTTTCATACAGTGAATTATAACTTGGATCAGAAAAGTTACAAAGCACAAAAGGGGCCCAGATGGACAAAGAGATTCAAATACAAATTCTTTTTAAAAAGTTCTAAAAATGTTAGGTTCTGATTATAATTCTGTGTTGATGAGTGCAAAAGAAAGAAATAGTTAAATGAAAATGTATTGCATCCATGTGAACTTAACATCAATCAACTTCTCCAATGTTCTCCTGAGGTCTCTTGAAAGGAATGGCTATGTCACATTGTTCTTTATTTATGAAAGAGATGGAGATTCTATAGCAAATATTGAAAGTATAATAAGGAGTAGAGGACAAGAAGGATACATCTCCTTCCAAAATCAAGATAGACAAATTATTTGCCTCCCAATATATTGTTATCTGGCCATGGCTCCATTCATGCTTATGCTGACATAGAGGGCAATGTTACAATCTGTGCTCAGTTCTAGCTGGACAGTGCAGTTACCAATTTTGCCCTGTAAAATTTCTAGATAGGTCATTTGAGAGACCCTCCCTGATTAAGACTGGAGTTTGTACTGAATGATGCAAACTCTGCTGACAAATATTGACAACTTCCTTAAGTAAATACACAATACAACATTTTCTTAACTCTTCCTAAAGAGTTACAAAGAAATGGAAAGATTATTAAATGTATTTAAGAGAGAGAGAGAGAGATGTGAGTAGTTTTCATCTAGCTATGAATACATTCCTGTGAGAATTGTGTGCATATATACCGTATTTTTCGCACCATAAGACGCACTTTTTTCTCACAAAACAGGGGGGTGGAAAGTCTGTGCATCTTATGGAGCGAAGAAAACAGATTATATGAAATGTATTTAAGAGAGAGAGAGAGAGAGATGTGAGTAGTTTTCATCTAGCTATGAATACATTCCTGTGAGAATTGTGTGCATATATATTTGCTTTTGAAAAGCATCTGATCAGATACTTCATGATGGAGTCAGAACATAAGCTCTACTCAGGTATTCGAGATTTGAGAATACTCACCATGTGAAAAAGGAAATGCTCTAACCCTGCCTCACTTCTCCCCAGTTTTGTTTCACACCTAATGAATCTGAAGAGGGAGCTCCTCTATATGTAGACATTTGCCATGTGTGTGTCAGGAACCTGGAAAATCAGAGTGGGATGATGACAGAAATTACTGGGGTAGGGATGGGGATGGGGATGGGGTTGGAGGATTGCCCTTTCATTGCACGATGAGCATACTTGAATGTACAATGCCTGAACAGGGACACAGTAATTGCAAGATTAGATGTTCAGCAGAATTTTCTTTCATCTGTCCTAGAGAAGTGACAATAAGCCTGGGAAAAATCCACACATGCATACACTTTGTAAATAATAGATAAAACTTATTTAATTAGGAAGTCCTCACAAAACTTTCATCATAGAGTGGAGATGGGCACGGATGAAATCCACAGGAGAATGGCAGGCCCTTACCTGGCCGATGTGCCTTTGGAACAGCCATGTTTGTCACGCGTCCTCCGTCCTGAGGTTTGGGAGGTGATGCAGTAAATCTGCAGATCCCCGATTCAGATGGGGTGCTTGAGGTCAGGCTATCTGTGTACTCATTAGTCCCTGCTGTAAGCTGCTCTGATGACGTGTCTGATATGAAGCATTCTGTGATGGTAAACTTAGCATGTCGCAGCTGTTCTTCCATCTTGGCGTGTTCATATGCTCTTGCTAGCTCTTCGTAGGTGGAGGAGGCACTTTCTGTGGATACCATGCTGCTTCTTGCTCGATCTAAACAACACAAGCAATGGCACTCACTTCAGTAGGAAGCTCTCTGCTGGCTTTTTCATATGCAAACAACATAAACTTTACAGGGAGCGAGTTAATAGTTTACCAGTCTCTCTTGCCCACTATTCAGCATGGGTAGTAAACATTATAGAGAAAATTAAGAAAGTGACACTTAGAGATTTTCTTGATTTGTATCCTCAAATACAGCTCGGCATGCTAAGAAGAAGAAATGCATGCAATGGTGAAGGTTGATCATTTTTAAAAATGTCTTTCATGATATTGCTTGTCACACAATATTTAATTAAATGTCTCAGACAAATATTGAGGGGGGGACTGGTACCCATAGAAAATACAAAAAGACTAATAGCTATTTGAATGTCTTGCATGACATTTCAACATATATTTCATTCCAAGAAATCTCTTCTATTACACCAAATAAAAGAAAAAAAGTGACATGCAAAGAATAAAACAAATTTATTCTTTGTTGTGAAATTGTTGTTTGATACTATTTGATTGTTTTTAGCCTGTTTTATTGTGAGCCGCCCAGAGCAGGCACTGTCCAAATGGGTGGGATACACATTTAATAAATAATTAAATACATGCTGCTTTTAATTTGGCTCCTTTTTGTTATTTACCAAGGACTATGAGTTTTTTTCATGTATAGTGGTCTTTTAGTAGGTCTTTTTGCCACAACCACCCTGCTCGCAGCCTGCTGGGGATGTGAACCCTGTAAGTCAAGTGCAGCTTAATCTCAGATCTGAATGTCTCATACACCCAATTCATATGTTCTGTGTGTGCAGTCCACATTGATAAAGGAAGTGTGCTAGCCCCAGAGCCTCTCTCATCACTTCTTACACAAAACAGCAGCAATCTGCAGAGGGGGACCTGTTGCATCCATGCAGGCCCTACACCTGATCCACAGCCCGTTTGCTTACATGGAGAGCCGACAGAGATACCACAGCCTCCACCTCTGCAGACAGCCACTTTTGCATGTTGAAAGTGACAGTGGAGGGGAAGCAATGTGCTCCTCCCATCAGATGTGGAGCAGACATACTTGTAAAACACCAGAATAAGGCTATAGAAGTTTTGGATTCTGGTACTTCTTAGCACAGAACAGAATGGATTCATGACTACTCTGCCCAAACTGTGGGAAGGATCTCAGGACTCAAGTAGTTTGGGTAATTCATTCCACAACCACTGCCTGCCTATGTGGAGGACTGCCAGGTACAGGTGTCTAAAACAGCCAGGGGTAAATTAGTATATGGATGTATTGGTATGGTTTTAAGCCACCTAATGTCCGAAGTGCTAAAGAAATGTACTAATTAAAAACATAAAATGCAAGATAATAAAACGGATCAAAATAAAAACAAGAGAAAAAAACACAGGAATATCACAGAATAAAATCAAATCTAAAGCTAGCCCCTGGAATAAACAGCAGAAAAATATAAAAGCACTACAATAGTTCTGGACTGTTGTTGTTGTTTACCTATAGGGAAAGGTCATTGTCTTTCCCTGACACTAAACAGTGAAATGAATGTTGTACACAATAATAAACTAACTTGGATTATAGAAACTGCAATCTCATACCCCCTTAAATGGAAATAAAACCCACTGTACTCAATGGGACTTACTTCCATTGCATGCCTAGAACTGCACTGGTACTTTCACAGTACAATAACATTTTCAAGAATAAAGAATTTTCTTCCTATAAGCATTGTTTTAGCAGGAGAAAAAAAATCCTGGAATGTAACTTTCCCTGTAGAACTAGTGCCGTTGACACAAGCATATAATAAAGCATCATGAAACCAGCCACCACCATATTATAGTTCAGTAAGTATGAAATGCCTGAATATGTGTCCTAATTTGCTTCCAGGTGACTCTGCCTGTTTCAATCATATCTTCATTTTAGAAAATAAATAATGTTTCCTGCTGAACGGTTTTGAAGGCACATCTGTGGACCTTCATCAGTTCCAACCACTGAAGTCTGGACAGCTTTTCTTAATTAGCTTGGGCAACTATTTTGACTGACATTTGGTGCTGTCATTTCAAGAGAAGGCTCATTATTGCTTATGTCCCTACCCATCTGACATCTAGGTGGCCCAGACAGAGTCTGAGTTCCTGTACAGGAGACTAGCTAATTTCTCCATTCATGTGAAACAGCCTCCAGCAATTACTTTTGTTTTAGATGAAAACCAGTTATTGAAATGTATACATGAGTTATAAAATATACGGATAATAAGGAAAGAAGGTGTGTGTGTGTGTGTGTGTTGTGTGTGTGTGTAATTCTTTCACAGCTCCGACAAACTTGTCAGAAACTTGGTGGAGGATATCAAGGGAACTTCAGTGGTACACATGTTGTGGCTATTTTGTTTTTAAAATGTATTAATTAATATTTTCAGAGGATATGGTTGCACGACAGAAGGCGCATGACTAAGGGGTACAAAATAACCAGGTATCCTATGGTATGGGTGTTCTCCTTGGTTGCTACTGTCACATCCTTTCACTTGATGATCTTTACTAGCTTCTTCACAGCAACTTTTCTGAGTCTCAGGCCTCTTCTGATTTCTTAGCTTTAGCCTTCATGTGGACAGATTGCTGAATCAAGGAATGGAATGTCTTTAATGATTCAATTTGTTCATTATCAACATTAAAATTATGTAATTCTTCTTAGGGATTATTTTGGTCTTTAGCTGTTTTGCTTGGCTCTGAACCTTTTTTAACATTTATTAGCAGCCATTTCAAATCATTGCTGTTTCCTATCAATATTATGGTGTCATCTGCATCTTTTAAAATATTATCTCTTCCTCCATTTTTTACTTCATCTGACTCTAATCCATTTTTTCAGATGACAGTTACATCTCATGACAATCCAATCTTGTGCCACATCCTTTCCTTTAAAAATGATCCATAACTTTTCATGATCCAGAGCACTGGTTCTTAACCTTGGCTTACTCAGGAGTTTTGGACTGAAACTCCCAGAAGCCTTCACCACCAACTGTGCTGGCTGTGATTTCTGGGAGTTGCAGTTCAAAAGCATCCGAGTAACAAAGGTTAAGAACCACTGATCCAGAGGATCAAAAGATTTACTGCAATCTATAATTGTTTTAATCTATAGAACAAAATTATTTTCTGATGAAATTCTTTGGTACACTCTAGTAGTCCACGTATATTTGCATTATGATCTCTAGTGCCTCCTCCTTTTCTGAATTCAGATTCAACATATGGCATTTCTTGTCCCATATGTAGCAAAAATCTTTGTTTTATAAGCTTAAGCATTACTTTGCTTACACAAAAAAATGAAGTGGTCCTCTAGTTACTGCAATTTTGGCATCTCTTTGGTTTTGGATTGGAGTATGTACTGTACTGTATTGACCTCTTTCAGTTTGTGGGCAATTGTTTTATTTTATATGTTTGTTGGCATATTCTTATTAGGATTTTGTAGAATCAGAGCTTGAAATAGCTCTATAAATACACAACCTGCTCATGGTGATTTAATTTTTTTACTGTTGTTTTGAGAGCAGTGTTCATTTTCTAAAATTACTGATTCATCTTCAGAAGATTCTGCTTCAAAGGAATCTATCTTTATATCTCTTCCATCTTCTCTTTATTTCATTCTGATCAAATAGTATTTTCCCCTATTATTCTTTCAACATTCCTAACCTTAGCTTCAATTTCTGTTCGATTTCTTGGGTTTTTTGGAAAAGCCCCTTCCTTTCCCTTTATTATTACTATTATCTATTTTTGTCTCCTGTCTGGCAATATATTCTGTTCCTACTGCTAAATTAAATATCCCCATTTGCCTGTGAGAGCCAATGCAGGGTAGTGGACAGAATATTAGATCTGAACTCAGGAGACATGGGTTGAAATCCTCATACATTCTTTAGAAACCAGCATGAATAGACGTTTAAGCTCATGTCTAGTTTGGCCCCAGATAAAATATTTAGAATACATCTCTCTTTAGGAAAAGAAGCTAGAAACATACATCTCAGCCAAACTGAGAAAATTATCAACTCTGCTCTTGACTCTAATGTCTAGGGGAAAAAAGATTATACCTGTATCTTGTGATGGACTGACACTATAGCTGTCGCTTTCTTTATCCACAGACCCTGTGGCCCTGGGGGTTGGCAGCCTCCAATCTGTTGTTAAGGTGTGCGCTGATATTGTGGGATGAGGTCTGTTGAGAGTCCATTGGCTAGCATATCTGTTCCTAGCTGTAGGTCCAGTTTTTGCATTCCTTCTTGTTGTAGGGTCTGCAATTAAAACACCGAGATGTCTGAATATTTGATTAGGCAATAAAAGAAAATGGCTGAAAGGAATTGAAAATGGAATTACTGTTCAGTAGCTTAGTTTATGAAAATGACCAACGGTGAGTAGACCCAACATAAAATGTAACAATGTAACGTTACATACAGTCCTTTCTGGAGGGGAGAACTCAGAGGGTGGTGCTGGGGGACTCCTGTTTGACACCCTGGCTCATGGCCTGTGGGGTCGCTTAGGGTTCTGTTTTGTCCTCTATGTTATTTACCATCTAGATGAAAATTCTGGGAGTGGTTCTCCGAAGTTTTGGGTTTCACTTTCACCAGTATGCAGATGACCCCTAACTCTATCTCTCCTTGCCCTCTCAATCTGATGAAGCTGTTTTGGCCCTAGATCAGTGTCTAGTGTCATTAATAGACTAGATGAAAGTGAATAAACTGAAATTTAATCCAGACAAGACAGAAATTTCCTGTTCAGTCAAAAGGCACAGCAAAAAATAGGGAAGCAACCTGTGCTGGATAGGTTACCCTCCCTCCGAAAACACAGATGAGCAGCTTGGAGGTGCTCCTAGAGTCATCTCTGAGCCTGGATGCCCAAGTCTCAGCAGTCGCCAAGAGTGCATGTATACAGTTAAAAGTAGTGTGTCAACTGCCACTGTTCCTGGTGAGGTTTGATCTGGTCATGATGACACATGCCTTAGTTGTATCCTGATGGATTACTGTAAAGTGTGCTGCTTAAAGTGTAACATAAATCCCTAAACAGCTTCGGTCCAGGCTATCTCAAGGGCCACATCTGCATTTATGAGCCTGCCCAGGCATTAAGATCATCAGGAGAGGTCTTTCTCTCGGTCCCACAACCCTCACAGATGTGTTTGGTGGTGACATGGGAGAAAGCCTTCTCTGTTGCTGCTCCCAGACTGGAGCTCCCTCCTAGAGGAGGCTAGTCTGGCCCCACCTTTACTGTCCTTACACAAGTAAGTGAATACCTTTATCTTCAGGCAGGCTTTTCCTTAGTAAGTGAATACCTTTGTCTTCAGGCAGACTTTCCCTTAGTGGCTGGCTGCCTGAGTGGGATTTTCAAATGGACTGTTGTGCCTTGCTGTTTTTAAATGTGCTTTCATTATTAACTTTATTTGCCACTGTTAATATAATATTTGTTTAATTTTTTTAAATATGTGTATACTTCCTGTTTTTAGATTTTAAATATTGTCTTTTAATGATGTATGCCACCTTGGTACTTTGTTAAGGAAAGAAGTGGGGTGGAACTAACTAACTAACTGACTGACTGACTGACTGACTGACTGACTGACTAACTAAATTTTTGACCTCCATATCCCATCAGTCCTAGCATAGGTAGATAGATAGATAGATAGATAGATAGATAGATAGATAGATAGATAGATAGATAGATAGAAGTTGCCAAAGTACTGATTATTTTTATGTGAGTCAAATAAACCTTATTTGGGAAGTTAATCCCCTCCCCAAGAAACCATTGTCTATTACGGATTTTTGCTATACACTCAAGACTTAAAATCCTTTCTTTTTTCTTCTTCTTTCAAGAAATGGGCAAGTACGGATATGGTGGAAATGGTATGGGACATAAAAGCAGTAAGGGCAGAAAGCAGTTCAAAGGGGAAGAGCAATGGGACAAAACAGTATTGAAAATATAAATTTGAACCTATTTGAATGTTATTTTTATTAAAATAGCAAGCAAGTTCCTGTACTTTGAAACAAGGAATTTGATAAGAAGTGAGCTAATGGCAACTTGTCATAAATATATGGATTATTCATGATTCATCCCTTCACATTGACAGAGATACAGCTTTTTAAACTTATAAACCCTTAAAAATGCAAGCTGTCCATATGCTGTTCACACTTTGTGATTAGGGTAATAACTAGCAGAAAAATAAAAAGACATTCGGAAATAAACATGGTGTCCCATCTTTTCTGTTGAGCAAAGACAACAGTTAGAAGAGTAGCTGAGCAAGACCAAACCAGCCCCTAATTTAACAGCATGCTGAATTTTTCATATTGGTTCTACAAGGTGTTTTGCAAACCTAATCAAGTCAATGCCAAACAGTTGGGAAGAAGTCCAAACTAAATCATCATCACCCTCTTAGAACTGCAGAGCTGAAAGGAACCCTGCAGATCATCAAGTCCTGCCCCTGTCAGGGAGGCACAGTGGGATTTTAGTGAAAATGAAAAATGTTAGAATGGTACAGAGAAAATTGCCATTCATTAGAAAGTTCTTCTTTTTTTATTTTGGGGTGAGTGGGACTTTGTTCTATTGCACATGAGTCTTACAGACCTGAAATTGAAAAGGGGGCTCTTGAATTAGCTGTAACCAGTCGCTGCGAGTGACACCCTTTTTGCTGCACCAAAAGAGGATGGTGCTTATTAAAGATTTTTTTTCAAACACTAGAAGATTTGTTAGTTTTCCTTAGAATACCATAAAAATATTGAACATAGTACCTGCTTAATGATAATTACAAAGTGCATTACCCCAAAGAAAAACTGTAAGAATAATAATGGAAAATGACAAATTAACTTGTGCTGGTTAGGAAGGAAATGAGCAGAAATATATATACCGTATATAAACATTTTTAAAAAAACTTTTTTAAACTTGGTATCTGGTTTCCTTTGGTTAGTACATCGAACAATTACATTTTTCTGTAATGCAGCAAAGTAGTGTCATGTTGGATATAGCACCAGACCAGCTACATCCCACATCCAGATAGTTTTAGGACAATGCAGATGATGTTACCCAAGATGAACATTATGTGTGCTAAGTCAGTATGTTTGAACTGAAGAAGGGAAGAGAACAAAGAGAAAAAGCTTGCTATTATCAGTTGGATCTAAATCTAGTGTATCCCATTGATTTCAATAAGTTTTCATTGTGATTAGACATGGGGATGAATAAAAAACAAATTGCGATACTCATGCAAAATCGCTGATCTGTTAAATATTCATCCCTTCATATTTATGGATGCCCGAGACCTCCATGAATAAGAAAACATGAATATTTCCCCATTTTATTTGTTTGTTTGTAATTATAACAACAACATTCTGCCTACCGGCCGTCAATCAACTGATTGCCAGCCACCCGCCCCCATAGCCACCCACCCCAGTCTAACCCACCCCTTCCTCTCCCTACCTTAGCCAGCCCATTCCCGCCAACACCCCCTTACCGTAATCATCGCCACCACTGCGGGAGGTCTTGAACAGGCCTCCGCAGCCACAGTGTGTAAAAAGGAAAACTGGCTGCCCTTTGCAAAGATTGGGGCTGCAGCTTCATTTAGGGTAGGGAAGCTGCAGCTGCTATCTTTGCAAAGGGCAGCCTGGATTCCCTTCAGTCAGGTGGTGGGGGTGTGTGGCAGTGGTGGGGTGGTGGCAGTGGGGTGTGTGTGTGTGTTTTAAAAAAATACCCCCCCCCATGAATTGACAAATATATTCGTTAGTCCTCGCTTCATGGGGGCAACTTTGTGCTTCGTGTGCCATCAACTTTTGACAACTCATGAAGCAGGATGACTCACCAAAATGGTGAGTTGTCCCCGGCTCTAATTGTGACTATATCTGGATACAAACCAATATTTGTGCTTGAGGACAGGGATGTGAGAAGTCCTAGCAAAATTTCTTGTTTTTTCCCTGCATTATCCAAATTTCCTAGCTTCCCACAAAAGTGATTCCCCAGTCTTTCCTTGTATTCCATTTTCACAACATTTTATGCAAGAAACTGCCAAATTTCATGCAGCCTGTACCCTTTCCATTCAATCTTGAGTAGGAAATATGCCATTCTGCTCAGAAATTTAACAGTCTTGTACAGCTTGGTGTTTTTTCTGCCCTTTCCTGCTGAATACTGTGTGTGAAAAAAATACCACAAAATCTCTTTGGACATAATATTCATTTCATAATACATTTTAATATTCATTTTAATTTGAAGCCCACAACAAACAGACTTTCATACTTACTTGTTCCTGGTCTGGCATCAGAAACATCCACCAGTGGCCCAGTTGCTTGTGAGACAGACTGGTAATGTACTGTGTGAGTAACAGTCAACGATTTCTGTTTTGATGTCTCTCCAAAATCAGCGTCCGTTAACAAGACAGTTGATCTATCATCTGTGCAAAAGGAATAACATAAGAATTATCTTTTATAATGTCTTGTTATGCCTGATCATTAAAGAAGAATTAATAACCATTGATACATTATTCTCCATTCTGACTAAAATGTGTTTAGTTTGGCTTCCTTTTAGGAGCAAATATCCTCACTTTTTTACCATTGAGTGAAAACAAGAAATTGTCCTTATTTTTTTGGGTGCTTGTCCATGAGATGGCAAGATATTTTCTGGTGTATTTGACAAGGGTATTTACCTTTTCAACAATTAATTTTGTGTATAGGTTTCTCAAATGGGTCAAATGCAGATAGGTGCTCCCATGTTGCATGGTGCTTTAAAGATAATAAGCATAGGAAGAATTTGCATCTTTCTCATTGATCAGTTCTGTTTGACTTGTCATAGTGGTCCAATAGCAGTGTCAGCTACCTTTGCATTTAAGTGCAATTTGCAGATGTGTGAGTATTTACCAATTCAATGAGATGGCAGAAATCTTGGAAATTGATTGATTGATTATTTATTTGTCCTTTTAATTTATATTATTTATATGCCATATTTCTCCCCACAGGGACTCAAGGCTGCTCATAAGTTTAAAAACAAAACAAAAAAAATCAACAGCTCTACAATACCATAGAAATGCCATATTAAAAAACAACTAAACATATATCAAGATTAAAACCAAGATTAAAAACAATTTAAAAAACATTTTTAAATTTTAAATAATGTGTTCCAACTAACAACACTAACAGAAACATCATACTCTTTGGGATAACAAAAGACAATGCCCTTTTTCTGAAAGAATGCAGCAACATGTTGCATCATTGTATTTTTGCATTTTGAGTTAACATTTTGTTTTAGGATGGTCAACATTATTTTTAGAATCATGAATAATACCTTTTGTTAATCTTAAAGTCTTGCATTTGGGGGGACATGGGAGGGATCTTTGGCCATGTTGGTGTTTTTAACGTGTTTTTTTAAATTAAAAAGGAATGTAAAGGATTAAATATATTAATAAAAAGCAACAAAATGTATTCCTAATATACTCCTCTGCAAATAATAACTAATAACATTAACAAAATGGTGGTTTGTATATTCACCTAGAAGAATAAGAAACCAATTACTTCTCTTAATACTAAAAATAATGTCCCAGGCTCTGTAAAACAGAAGATCTGAATTTGATCCTTATCATGGATGTTACTGCTGGAGGTGCTGAGAACATTTTCCACCACCTTCCTTCCCATTCCTCTTTCCCATTGTATTTCTGGTGCCTCAACCAAAGATGGCAAACCTGTGACCCTCCAATTATTGTTGGACTTCATCTCCCATGAGCCTGCATGGCTGACGGTCGGGAATGGGGCAATTTAGGGTGCACCACCTGGAGGGCCACACCTTGCCACCTCCTGGTTTAAATTAAATTAGCCAATATCTTTGAAGTTTTTCTTTTGTTAACTTTTTGTTACCCTGAACCACAAAAAGGAAATAAGTAAAAGAATATCCAAGAAGGATATAAAAAGGTAAAGGTAAAGGTTCCCCTTGACAATTTTTTGTCCAGTCGTGTCCGACTCTAGGGGGCGGCGCTCATCCCGCTCTTCAAGCCATAGAGCCAGCGTTCGTTCGAAGACAATCTTTCCGTGGTCACATGGCCAGTGTGATTTAGCCACGGACCGCTGTTTACCTTCCCACCGAGATGGTACCTATTTATCTACTCGCATTTTGCATGCTTTCGAACCGCTAGGTTGGCGGGAGCTGGGACAAGCGACAGGCGCTCACTCCGTCGCGTGGATTCGATCTTACGACTGCTTGGTCTTCTGACCCTGCAGCACAGGCTTCTGCGGTTTAGCCCACAGCGCCACCACGTCCCTTAAGGATATAGTTATCTTGAATACCAGATGAACGCTGAGCTTCTTGTTTCCAACTAATTTTTGGTTCTACCCTTCTTTAGGCCACAAACTTGGGAATTCAACTTGGAGTAGATTTCACTGAACAACATGAAATGCGCTTCCGAATAAATATGCCTAGGTTGTGCAGTTAATAACTTAGGAAACATCCCTACTATTTATTTAAAAAATCACAAGCAAAATAGCCTCCACCAGTGCCTTGCATTCAAAGTTCACTTCAAAAGGAACAATACAATGTTCTCCTAAGCCCCAGTGGCTTTATAAATCAACATAACAAGCCTATTGATGGTTTACCAATGGTCTCCATTGTGTCCCGCTCTTCAATCAGGAGTTGAGCTCTGGGAATATCTATATGCATTCTCAGTGTCTGCTGTTGCTTGTTAAGTGTGTCCGATGTCCTTGTATTCTTGCTAGGAATAAAAAGACCAAACCAAACAAAAAGGGGAAAACAGCTATGAGAATCAAATAAAGAAATTATTTAAAAAATGGCAAGATTACTTTGGTTTCTTATCACTTTCAGAAAGATGCTCAAAAATTCTTCTCTTCAGTTCTTTCAACTATATAAGCAGTATTAAATTAAAACAGAAAGCAAGAAGGTTAGAGAAACAGGAAATGAGCAGTCTTCACTTAACTATAAAGCCTTCATTTGAAGAAGGCTTTCTGAAGAACACAATCTTATGTAAGCAGTTTATAAGACCACTACTTCCCCCCATCTTCCATTTAGAGAACCAATGATCCCTTAATCCAATCAGAGGGAAGTGAATATTATTGCACTGTATTCTCATTCTATCTTGGCACTGATGGGCAGAGAAATCATAACTAGGGGTGCAAGCAGAGAGGTATTTAGCCTGCTGTTTGGACTACATGGGAATGGGTACTTTCCTCCTTTTGACAGTGACCACATGATGTAATCATTGGAGAGAACCGAATCATCCCCAAAGCATTCCTACCAGCACCTTTCTGTCCCCTGTAAGAGGCTCCAGCTTTTTTTGGTGTGGGTAGGATTGCTCCAGTTTGGACCATTTCCAGTGCATGTAATTGCTGGAAATTCTCCCCAAAGTGAGCCTACTGAAGGTGGTTAGGATGAATTCAGGAGCCTCCATTGTGGCCACAGACAGCTATGATGAATCATAATGCCACAGAAGGCATTCCAGGAACAGGGATCTGAGAGTGGAACTGGCTTTGGATGTGCTGGATCCCAAGCCACAATATTCCCATAAGAGAGGCCTTATCCTGGCTGGCCAGCTATGCTCACTTGCAGCTGACACGTCTAAGGGAATTTAATATTAAAAGATCCATTGATCTTGTCTGCAGAAAATCCACACACCCCTTCCTAATTGGGGTGAGGCAATGAATACACATACCATTTTCCTTCCCCCAATCTTATTTAGGGTTGCAATGATAAATACTACTCAACATGGAAAAGAGACATTTGAAAACTCATCCTTCAGTTGTTTATATGGATAGCAATTTGCCTGCTTTTTGTCCTGTTGTCACTGCAGGTAAGAACACACACTGGCACAATCCCATCACTACCCCTGCACTAACTCCAGGTGACTAATAATATTGTTTGGGAACAGAATAAGAAACAATTAGTGCACTGTCTCAGAACCTATTACATTCTCATTTCAAAATTCATGTACTGGAAAATTACCCTTGGAATGAGCTATCAATGAACAGTTAATATATCTTTTTTAAAATGGCAATATAGCTGCAGGAAATCCATACTAGGTAATACTATATAGTAAAGATCTCCATCAAGTAGTAATGGCTTATCTGCATGAGAATTCAGGATGAACAATAAGACAGCTGGGTTGCCTGGGAGAAATACAGAAGACTTCTAAGGGTGTTTTCACAGAAACAGATTGTATTTTGGACTGCTTGCAGAGAAGTCCAACCCCAATCTGTGCCCAAGTTGGACCTTTTTGGTCCAGCTGTAGAGCTTTTACTTTTTGGTGCCAGGCTACAGCGACTCCCCAACAGACAGAAGGGCTGCTTTAAGAGAGATTGCACACTGAATAGCAACCTTTTCCGGTAGAATGAGATGCATGGTTTCACAGTTGTCTGATTGCACTCTGAGACTGTTGCAAGAGCTTACCTTATACTATTGGTCATGGAGCCATATTACAGTTATGGTTCCCAATGTTTAATTTTCATCGTCAAATCAATCTGATTTCTTTCTGCCCTTGTCTTCTGTTAACTCTTGTTTTCACCCAGAGCTGTCCGAAGGCCTCTAGCCATCATATTGTGTTCCCTCCTATTCTCCCTTACCACCTCCTCCACCTTTGTCTCTGAAAAGTGTGTGATCTCTCTCTCATCTTCATATCTCTACCCCAAAGCTATCTTGTGCACGAGACCTCTGATTTAACACCTTAATCTCTTTCCTAAGTTTATCAAGAGCAAAACCCCAAATATATATCAGTGCAAGACTGTTTCTGATTTATGCTCTCTAAATGGTGATAGGGCAATATTTTTATTATAATGAGCAGTAGTAAGGAATTTCTTTCTACAATTGCAAAACGTAATGGTAATAATTCCCTTTTAAATTAAAATGAACTTTTCAGGCCAGGACTATAATGTGGTAAGGGAAAAAGAGTAACTTGAGCTTTGCCCCAGGGCACCAAAATTTAGAGAGCATCAAAATCTGCAGGTGAATTAACTGATGAAAATAAATGGAAATATCTCCTGGCTTTTTTTCTCTCCAGCCCCTTTTTAAAAAGTGTAACATTCCCTCTCTTATTGTTTCCCCCACTTTTCTGCGATGGTGGGCTTAGTCCACATGTCTGGGAAGAGTAGGTGGGAGATGGTGCTGACTGGAGGGATGTCAAAGTATTAATTACAGCCCTGTCCCACACTCCAGAGGGATAACACTTCTCTCCTCAGAAGCTTTGGTGACAGACCTTTTTCATTTTAGATATAATAATTGTCTTGACTCTTGATGGAAAAGAGAGAATGAAGCTACCTTGGTTTAACCGCAGCTATTGGAGAAAAAAATCTAATCAGGTTAACAATCTGTATACTGAGGTAAAAGAGATGCTGGACAAGTGTTTTGGTGTTCATTTGATCATGGTCCTCTCACCTAACTGTGTTCAGAGAGGTAGCAACGTTACTCTGTTTCAGCAACAACAAAAACAGACAAAAAGAAAAAAAACCATGTAGACCTTGTGCACAATCTGAAAGTGGATGATACCTTTATTTTGCTACTAAAATCTCTCACACAAAAATGAAAATAAAACTAAAAACAATAAGACACAAGATATCTGAAGAAGTGGATTTCAGTCTACGAAAGTCTACACTGAAAGTTCTCAAAGGTGACACAATATTTTTGTTTTTGTTGCTACCTATGTACAGGGGCCCTGTTTCCAACTCAGAATATAAAAAAATAAAGGCTAAAAACAAACATAATGCAAAGCAGGAATTACTCTGGTTACTCTGCCTTTCCAGTAAAGCATCCATGTGTGTCTGTTTGCCCATTGAGAATAACAAGAGAAAAATATTTTTAAAAGACTGGCAAAACTGCTCCATGGATTTTAAGGGTGTACATGTTTGCAGCAGAAGTCATTTATGTTACGGCCAATATTAACTTGACTAGATCCACCATGAACTGCACGCCTAGGGAGTCCCCAAACCAAGAGTTAGTCTTTGCGGTGGAAAGCAAATAGCAGTCTGCACCAGAAAAGGGGGAAAAAAAGTTAGAGCATCCACACGGCACCCCTGCCACCTGTGCCTGGCATGTTTCTTTGAACCCAGAGGAATAAGCCAATCATTAAGGAAACCACAGATAATCTCCAATGTTTTGCAAGCTATAATTTTGCACTCCAAAATAATTTTTTCTATTTGCTAAAGTTATTCAAATGGGATGTTTCTCCAATAGTTGCTCTGCATTTTGGAAAAGTCTAAGTTCTGATTTTAACAGAATCAAACCACCAAACTCTGGGTGTTGTTCTTACCTCATAAGCATTTCAGCCAAGCTTTTTGCATCTAGAAAGAAAACAGGAGAAATATTACCTTTATAGAAATCACTCATTAGAACTGGTATGTCCATTTGATTAACACAATTGACTGCTGAAGGCCTTATCACTGCTAATCACAGGGCTGTTGCTCACTTGTACATTCTCCCCTGAAGTTCACTCTGTGTTGTTGAAGGGTGCTGAAAGGATGCCTAACCTGAAATAACATTCACTATATGTCCTGAACATCTGTTCATGGTACTGCTGAAACTAGAGCTCAGAGCTCAGTGTCAGAGCACATATTTTATATTTAGAAGGCCCCAGATTCCCTGGCATCAGCCATTACATTTGGAAGGTATGCTAAAAGTAGTAGTTTGAGGGTTGTTTTTCTTTTTCTTCTTTCCTTGGCAACCATTATAGAATATGAATTTAGTTACACACTCACGTACCCTATATTACAGGGAGCAGTCCTCTATTTGAAGTGTTGTCTAGTTCATCTTGTAATGAAAGATAAAGGATTAGATCTACTTGTTAGTCCCAGCTATGGAAGCCCTATTGGGGCTTAAATTAGTGCAGAGTTCAGACGTTCATTTCATTCAGTGATTTTATTTAGTCCCAACTGGATTTAACCCAAAGACCCATAAAGAAGGGAGAAGAGAGGCCCTGAAGTTAGCCACCCTGCCTGTAGCACAGGATTTGCAGACTAAACAAGCACATTTTTAAAATTTATTTTTATGTACAGCTCTCTCCTTTTTGCAGTTGAATGAGGCTTTTGGCTCATTTCAAGCATTTTGGATTTTTCCCACTACAAGGCTCTCGACACATCTGTGAGGGCAGAGCTTGATTATTCCAGTTGGGCATGTATGCCATCAGGAACATTTTCCCCAGCTTTGCAGAGAGCAAGAAAGAAACACTGCATGGGAGAAACTGAGGCTCTTTCACGCATCCCCTCCTGAGGCAGAACTATTACTAGGAGGTGCTTTGGCTGGTGCACCAGAGACTTGAAATGTGAGGTGCATGTTAATGTGACCTAGTGCGGCAGAACCATTTCAATAGGTAAAATGGCATTGTAAAGGGAAAGGCACTGGGAATAAATCATCCTTCTCCACGATTTTGTTCCCAGAGTAAAGCTATTCTAGTACTGTATGTATGTATGTATGTATGTATGTATGTATGTATGTACGTACGTACGTACGTACGTACGTACGTATGTATGTATGTATGTATGTATGTATGTATGTATGTATGTATGTATGTATGTATGTATGTATGTATGTATGTATGTATGTATGTCTCGCCCATCTAGTCTTTGACTACTCTGGGCGGCTCACAACAAGTGGGATAAAAACAATTAAAATGTAACAACAATTTACAACAATAAACAATAATTCAACACAAAGATGAATGCAATGAAATACTGTATGATTAGACATATTTAGACCAGGGAAGAAAAGCTTATTGCCAGCACCAATAACAGTGTGTACAAAAAAATCAACCAGACTTGTTAAAATATTAAATGTGACTATAAAATTACACAATATATGGCTAAACATCTATGAATTTGGAAAGAAAAAAAACAGGAATCCCAGCTTTTATCCCAGCTTCTGCTTGTTAGGATTCTGCCATATATGATGACTCTGAATGTCTTTTCATTTTTTAAGACTGCCTTGGGAAATCAACAGCAATCCAGTGGATTTCCGGTGAGCTACCACATTTAAAAATACAATTATGAACTGCATTTGGGAGCAAAGAAAATAGAGTTTCTGCAGCAGAACCTATGTCACACACATGTATATGCACACAACATGCACACACACTTGTCAAGACTATGGGTCACTTATTCTTTTTAATACTTAAAAAAAATCTTCTGGTGTTCACACCCTTTTTTTGCTTCTTCACAGTCAGTGCTACTGCAAAGATTAGGGAGAAGCTAGATAAAACTCAAAATAAAATAGGAAAAATATATATATATTTTTACTATAACTCTAAGAATCCCCCAGCAAGCAAATCACAATATGGGCTGGGGGATTCTGGAAGTTGTGGTCCAAAAAGTATCTTTTCCAAGCTCTGAAGCTTAAAAAATCTTCCATATAGAACAGTGGTTCCCAACGTTGGGCAACCCAGTGTTCTTGGACTGCAACTCCCAGAAACTCCAGCTAGCACAGCTGGTACTGATGCTTCTGGGAATTGGAATCCAATAATACCTGGGCTACCCAAGGTTGGGAACCATTGGTGTATAGTATTTATTATATCTTTATCCTGCTTGGTGTCAATGGGGCTGTACTAGAATTTGCATCCAATCTCCCTCTGAAAATTCATTTCTCTTCTCCTTGTAAGAACTTCTCTTTAAGATAAAGTTGAGAAATTCCTAAGAAATGTTTAAGAAATCTGTTTTTCTGCTAGAGTTTTTCCATTGGAGTATTTTTCCTTCATTTTGAGAGAGAGAGAGAGAGAGAGAGAGAGAGAGACAGAGACAGAGACAGAGACACACACACACACAGAGCATGCAAACTGAAAGCTTCCATCTCGAAAGCATTCACTATGGACATCAGCTTAGCCACAGTATAAGCTTTACCCTCCAGTATAAAGGGATACTAAAAATAAAATATGCTTTCAGGAGGGATCCAAAGGAGCAGAAAGTTGTGGGCAACTGGTGGAAGAAATACCTGACAATAATGTCAGTGCAGAATCTGGTATTTTACAGAAAATAAATGCTCTGTCTGGGACACCCCTATGTTCCCATAGGGAACCAAAACCAAAAATAAAGCACAAACCACACAGCATTTGAAACCAGAAGAAAATAAGGTTTGGCGAACTATAACATTCTAATGCCATATCTGCCCTAAACGTCTGATTAAAAACATGAAGGGGATGTAGCCGGAGGCAAACAAGCTTCCTTTTCTGATATTGTGCCAACTGCACAGTTGTTTGGGGCATGTCTAGAAAGATCAAAAACTTTGGGGCATGGTTAGGAAAGGTAGCACATACTGAATGACTGGCTGAGCACTTCATCTAAAAATACCATATAAGGAGAATTCTGGACAGTCTCAAGTGACAGATGACCCTCTTTTGCCGTGTTTTAAGTAATGAGCTATTAAAAGTCCAGATTCCAATCCCTGTATGTCTAACTGTGTTTGTGATGTCACCTCTTCTTTTTTATGGCAGGCATTTCATCTAACTCAGCTGTATGGCAAACAGAAAAAAAACCCATGAAATTCTCTGTTGTGAGAATACCAATTTGATCAGTGGAAGCAGCCGAACATTTCCTTTGACTAATTTTTTTATAAGAAATGACCAGAATCCAGAGGTTTGCTCATAAATTCTATGAAAAGAACATGAGAGGGTTTTTCTTTTTTTTCAAATTGAATATGAGAGAAAGGACAGTTGACAGACAAGCCAATCCCTGGTTGGGATTTACCAGGTGCTTAATTTTCATACTAATTTATTGCCATGGCAATATCAGACTTCCTAAAATGTGACAGTCTCCATAATGTTACTAGACTAGTGTCAGCTGTGAAATAGTAGCCACACTGTCCCTCTAGCATGAAGGAAGGAAGGAAGCTCTATGCAGACTTATTAACTAATCTGTGCACAGGTCCTTGTTCTTGGGGAAGTGACCATAATATATGGAATAAATTCTTTGGGTCTAGTCTTACCTCTGAGTCTCTTCAACCTCTGCTCCCTCCTTCTCCTTCTCACAACCAGCAGAAGCACAAAAAGCAGCAAGACCCCAACCAAGATACAGGAAATGGTCACCAGCATCTTTAGCCCTTCATTGGTTGCCAGACCTTCCTCACTTTGGACAACTGACTTAATGAGTGGAGGGATTGTACCTGGAAACAATGTCATGATGTTAGAGGTTGATCAATGAAAACGATGGTTTTTAAGCAACTGTGGTGCACAGAAGGTTTAATTGATTAGGAAAGTTTCATTACACTAATTGTGCACGGGGATTTCAAAGGGAGACTTTACAGTTCTACCAGTTTGTGTGAAAAGGCAAATTATTAACTTTTTTTGCCAGAAAATATAGCTCTTTTCATTCCTGTTGCTTCCTTGACTTCCTTGACTAAGATAAATGGGGTGGGGGTGGGGTGGGGTGTCAGTACAGGTCCCAGAATCCTCATTGGCAATCTGTGACTTGACAGGGAATGCTCAAAAACTACCATTGCTGATAATAAGGTCTTTCCCAGTTGCTGTTTTCCACACTTGCACATTTGGGAAAGTATAAGAAAAGAACAGGCAGGAAAAACAGTGGGCATGGTACCAGACTATTATGAATTGAGCCAAAATTTTGAATGTGTTGATCTCTTTTTTTAATTGGAAAGGACTTCATTTTCTAAAGCCTATACCCTTCCCCCTCACAGCACAATACTGCTTTTCTACTTTCACTGAGTTAAGACTGAGAAATGAGCTTATAAATTGTGGAAAATCAGAATCACTCTAACCTAAGCAGAGGTCTTTGAACATCTTTCACTCCTTTGCAGGTTCGATAAGTGGAGACTAAGCTCTTCATTGTTTATTATTCAAAGTCTTTCAAGCAGACCTTACAACACCTTCTGAAGGAACTTGAACAAGCTTTTGTGAATTAGAAATTGCACAGGAAACAGTGCTGTTTATTTATTTATGTTATTTACTGTATAATGTTTTGTAGCAGCTTCTCTGTACAATACCCAAAGCAATATACAAAAAAAGCTCTGGTGCATAAGAATATGCGTAACAATTGGGCATGATGTGCTCCTGTGACTGCTGCAGTAGAAATCCTTTTCTTTCCATTAAGAGGCATGCAAATGTGTGTAGTTGTGCACATGCACAAGGCCTGTGCATATGTATGCACAGATTGCTACATACCAGCCATTATAGAGAAGAGAAGGATAATGTGTGCATCCCCTGAACAAATGAAAAAGGTATTTTCTTAATTTACCAGGATGTTGAGAAAGGATGAATATGCATCACATTGGGTTTTCCTGGTTTCCTGCATCACAAAGTTATTAGGCACCTTTGCAGGCACTGTAAAACTCACATTGGTATGTAGACACCATATCTAAACTAGTCATCAGAAAGGATGTCTGCTGTGAACCGCCCTCAAATCATAGGCTTCTTAGAATGAAAGAGGTGCTTCCATTCCAAACTGAGGCTGCGGTCACACCAGTAAAATGTATCCTTTTTTCCTCGTGTCTTTTGCTCCCTGTAGTCATGCATTGAGGTCATGTGACATATATCCCATGATACATATATCCCATGATATATATCCCATGATAGGTGCTTCACAACCATGCAGTGGGGCATGTCTCATTCCTCTGTACTTTTCCCTGCCCTCCTTTCTGCCCCCCCAAAAAAAATAATTGCTAGGGGATATTGATGGGTCAGCAGAATGTCCTTCCTGGCCACGTAGTGATCTCTGCCATTTTTTTCTATTTCCGCATTGCATTACTCTTTATGGAGAAGAGCCTACAGCACACTCTCTTACTTCAAGCCACATTTGACAGAATGCTGACATGCTGACATTCCCTTTAAAAAATTAATAATAACAAAAAGATAGTCAATCAAAAGTAGGTGGGGGAGGTGGAACCACACACCAGATGTAAAGGAAAAGACTTGGTTTAGTTGTACACAGTCAAAGGAATACCAGTTGTACTGTGCAATGAAACGTGGAACAAATCTACTAGTAGCCTCCCAGTGGGCTTGATTTGATGTGGAGTTAGCATGCAGGGCGAACAAAAGAATCGATAATCACTGTGCATTGCCTGAAGCCCCCTGCCCCAAAAGTGTCAGAATTCACAAGGAGTAACTTGGAAATATTTGGCTGATGTGACCACAGCCCGAGGAAAAGGGAAAAAAATGTTTTGAGGGAGAGGTAGTAGAGCAACTTTCCTTGGGTCAAAACTTGCTTCTTCTGGTGCCAATCCATCAAAAATATGTAAAGACTTATGTCTGGCACTTATCAAAAACAGAGAAAATTAAAAGAAATTATAAAATATTGGGCAGATGAACACCCACCCACCCCCAATATTATGACATTGTGTAGGATCATTTCTAAGTAGGAAACAAAGTTCTAAGTCCTATACGTGTTTCTGGGAGTTAAAGCCTGAAGCATCTTACAAAAAGATAAGGAGGCAATGACTAGAGCAGTGGTTCTTAACCTTGGGTCACTCAGGTGTTTTTGAACTGCAACTCCCAGAAACCCCAGCCAGCACCGCTAGCGGTGAATGCTTCTGGGAGTTGCAGTCCAAAAACACCCGAGTAACCTAAGGTTAAGACCTACTGGACTAGAGCACCAAGGTGCAGCCACTCTTCAACCCCAATTTTAATCTCCATGTTAAAAGGACCCTGAAACCTGGTTTTTAACAGTCGGTTTGAGGGCGAAGAACCTGCCATGAGGATATGTGTATTCCTGTGAAACCCCTCCAATTTGTCCTGCTCAAACAATCAGAGCTATTGGCTGAATGGAAGGCACAGAGAGCATCCCACAAAACAAGCCTTACCAGGGAAGCCTGCCATTAATTTGTGCAGCTTCTTGTGTAATGTTTCCATGTGACAAGAAGCAGATGGAATTTCAGATTGTAAACATCTTTTACTGTTTTTATCATCAGGTTCACACAGATGCCATATTGCAGCACACAAAATTAAATAGCACTTAGGTTACATTATGTGAAATTAAATTAGTTATGATTCCTCTTCATTAAACAGCGATGAAATGCATGCACTTACTGCCATCGTAGTTGAGTGTTGCAAATTTAGCCTGTTTCTCAGCACAGCCAGCACTGTTACAGACCCGCATCTGCAGCTCATACCAGGTAGCCTCCTGAAGATCATACACTATATATGATTTAGTCAGAGAAGTTCGCTGAGCTGTTGTCCACACTGTGGTTCCAAATGGCCTATATTCCAGTGTAAATGATGTGATTGGACAACCACCGTCATTCCACCCAATAAGGTTCAATCGTACCCGTGTGGTGTTAATACTTGCAAAGAGTTCTTGTTCTTTTGAAAACTGTGGTTCTACAAGAAAATATATAGGCAAGTACTGTATTTAGACAGTTGCAATAAATAGATAATAAAACACAGTGGTTTCCCAATGTCTTGCAGAATGAGATCACTTTATGTGGATGATGTCATAATGGCCCAAATTCTGTTGGGAAGTTACACAAAAGGTGTAATTGTTAGTGGTGAATTGCCATAAGTTAACATATTACTTATATACATCCTATGAATATAGTGAGAGTTATTCCCAAGTCAAGCATTCAATATAGGAAGTCCTGCCTACTTTTGGAAACTTCTGTGCTAGTCTTGCATTAAATTTTCATGGAATTTGATTTTCGGCGTTAAAAAATCAAAACCATTTTGGAGGCATTTGGCTCTGTTGAAAATCAAGTCATATGTCACAAAAATAGCTCTTTCTGCCAAACAATGAATTCCCAACTCTTTCAGCAACTGGAAACATACTGTTGTGGTCACTGAGACTTTAAAAGAGGCGAAATAAGTTGGAAGTACACCTTCCTGCTATACTGTTTGCTTCGGAAGTAGCTTGTGCATGTCAAGAACTCAAAAGACTTGAAGGCTCAGTTTGGCAGTGTTTCAGTTCTTAGAAGTACAGACTTGTACACATCCTTTCCAGATTATATTACTCATACAGATTTTATGGACAAAATGAACTACAAATAATCAACAACGTTCAGTGTACTTCACACACACTCAATCAATGTAACAATCCTCAACAGCATTATCCTCAATTGCATATGGTAAGTTAGGGACTGGTGAGCAGCAGGTGAGGCCACACCATATCATGTAACCTGTTTTCATATACTAACATTGTGGAGCAACTTGTGTATAAAAATTGGAAATCAAGTCTTTTCTGTGGAAGATTTACAATTGGGGGATAAAGCTTTTTCTGTGGAATGTTTGCTATGAGAAGGTAGTTTTTACTTTGGACTAACTGATTAATGAGGATGAGTGTCTGTCATTCTAGGATGAGGGCTATGTAACTTTGGTGGAATGCCAATATTTGTAACTGTAGTGATTTTTTTGTTAATACGTATATGCCATTAATTACTGCCCTATTTTCCGGAGATAAACCAGAAAACAGCACAAATGTATGCTTACTGTGGCTAAAAACATATTGTGTGTGTGTTTAGTCGTTTAGTCATGTATGCCTACTGTGCCTAAAAACATATTACAATACTGGAAATATATCTTTCAACCGCCTGTCATACAGTGAATTAAGGACATTTCAACTCTATTATATGAATGCATAACATATAGATGACAACTTTGTATGGATATATTTTTAGATATTTGGAAGCCTTTTACAGAAGCTTATATATACTGTAGATTTCATTATTATTATCATTGTACTTCTGTTTCTATTGTATGTCCTTTCCAGCTGCTTTGTGTGTTTTGTTCTCTCTTTTTTGTTTTTCGCATAATAAAATGTCTTTTTTTTTTAAATTAAGCCATGTCACAAAGGTGACATTTGAACTGAGGATTTCCTGGTTACCATTCATATGTTTGACCACCACACAAAATCAGTCCCTCTGAAGAGCTACCAACTTTGACATAGATAGCATATAGGCATCTATCCATATTATCAGCTGTATCATGCAACATTCACTTGTTTTGACATAGATAGCATATAGGCATCTACAGTGGGGTCTTGACTTGAGAACTTAATCCGCATTGGAAGGCGGTTCTCAAGTCAAAAAGTCTGTAAGTCAAGTCTCCATTGACCTACAGTGCATTGAAAACCGATTAATCCCGTAACAGGCCGTTTTTGTTCCATTTTGGTTTTTTTCTGGTCTGTAAGTCAAATCTTAGTCTGCAAGTCAAACCTAAATTTTGTGGCCAGAGAAGTCTGTAACTCAAAAAGTCTGTAAATCAAGCCGTCTGTAAGTCAAGGGTCCACTGTATCCATATTAACAGCTGTATCATGCAACATTCACTTGTTTTAGAATCAAGATAGGCTTCAAGTACCTTTCCCAAGTGTTTTGGCCTCTATAATCTCACTGATGCGTCCTGGTCCCACTCCGTTCTGGGCAGTCAGCGTAAACTTATACCAGGTCCCACACTTCAAGGTCTCCAGGCGGTAGGAACGTTCACTGGGACTAATAGGAAAACTGCCCCACTGTTCACTGTTGTCCTCTGAATATTGAAGTATGTAGCCTACCACGCACAGAAAGACATAATCATTATGGGCTACTATTTGACAAGATATATGAATCAATGAGTGCTTCAACATTACAGATGAGTAGTATAAGCTTTGAATCTCTTCTGTGTTCTAGGGAGGTATTCTTGACTTCTTTGCACCCAGAGGTCATAGTCCTTAAGTGCTCCCAGTATCTGTTGAAAAGGGAAAGCCGGCTTCCAAGAGATCAGGACAGACTCTGTGTGGTTAGCTAGGAATGCTTCTTTGGCTCAGAGTAGCATTACTCCACTGGATTGCACAGAGCAGGATAAAAATATTGCATCAAGGCAGCCACACAAATCAGAGAGACTATGTAAATATACCAGTTCTGATATGGTTTCAGAGATGTTCTTTGAAGTAGTGTTTAGTAGAGTTCTTGAAAGAGAGCCAGTCAATTTGCTTATTTATGCAAGACCTCTCTTATTAGTTTTAACTCCAAATTTAGAATTCGCCCTATGTACATTGAGTCTGTTTCACACGAGCAAAGGTTGTGCTATGCTGAGTCTGGTTTAAATCAATTGGACTTACTTGTGATTTCAATGAAACTAAAGCATGACTAAATTTATCTGTGTACATATACAAATACAATGGTTGCAACTATTTCTGAATTTCTGTTGCCCCACCAGTTGCCTAGTAATGAATTACAGAACAATGCTTCTTTGTGCAAATCAGGGATGGTAGTAATTTGGGATTGTGACATATTGGATATTACTTACTGTCCAACATGCTACACTCACTACTGATTAGCATATTCAACTCATTAAAAAAAAAGCCATGTCCCAAGTACTCATTGGCTAGGATCTAACTTACGTAAGTCACTGTGGCAAACTGCACCCAGGAATACACTCAGGACATGTGAATGAGCAACAATTTGCCATCATCAGTTATCTCATTTCACTCATGCAAGTGTAAATCACCAGTGAGTTTTGGCCACTATCAGATAGTTGGCTAACGCAACATAATTATGTGCCATCGAGACAATTCTATCTTTGGTGACTCTTTTCAGGGTTTTCCAGGTAAAGAGTACTCAGAAGAGGTTCATCATTCCCTTCTTTTGAGGGTAGTTTGGGACTGTGCAGCTTGCCCAAGGCTACATAGGCTGGCTCTACTTGTAGGAGGCACAGTGGGGGAATCAAACTCTCAACTTCTAGTTCTGCAGCTAGATACCTAAACCACTGGGGGACACCTCTTCTTTATCTCACCAAAAATTAACTTGATCTGCTATCAGTTTCCAGACCACAATATGTGAATCCCTTCTTTGCAATAGACACGGGCTTTGAAGTGGAGCTCTACTCTATTACCTCGAATAGAGCTGCCTCCGTTGTCTCCAGGTATCCACGAAAGAGTGATTGAGGAAGATGTGGTTTTGGATACAGTAAGTCTCGGCTGGTCAGGTGGAACTACAGAAGACATAGTTAAAAATAGAAATGAAAATTAAATTATTACATGTGACTTCCTTAAAGACATTTATTAAGAAATTATGTGAGGTTGAAGAAAAAGCAAATCATATCTGTCAACGTGCTTCATTTGACATCTTTAGTCAAGACTTAGCAGACAAGTTACGCTTTTCTTATGTGCCTAAATACTATATAATTTTATCTGGCATTTCTTAACCTTAATTTTGCCCTTGACTTTCTCATGTCTGAAATTCCAGCAGAATTATCTTCAAAGCAGATGGCAAAACACTTCTTTTTCAATTTTGTGTCACTATGGTGATAAAACACTGGCATACCACATCAGTGCAGCAACACTGATGTCAATTAAACCATCAAAAAGTTCAATAGAAACCTGCTTCCCTGAGGTTTCTTCCTGGTCTGGTAATGCCCTCAGGAGCAACAGAAACCAAGTCTCCTTTGTATATACAGTACTCTGTAGCCACCATTCAGATATCTGAAGGCTGCTATCATGCATACACCATCCAGTCAGCAATCCTGTGTGTTCCAATTTCCTAGTATTTCCCAGTATCATAATCACATCTTGCAGACTTCGGATTTTAGTCTCTAGCATATTTTAACAGACATAAGAAGAATTACTGAAATAATAATTAATGGATGAAATTCTATTTGTGTAAGTGCCATGACATAAAGCTGATGATGCTAGAGCATTTTTAAAAATTAAACATTTCCTCCTTAAGTCCCCTGACCCTCATAGATCTTTAGTAATGCCCTTCATCACTGAGAACCAATGGGGAATTTGGGATGAGATGAAATCCTTAATTACGGGAAAACAGTGCAGCCAATAAAGTTATTCTGCTGATGGCAATTTTTGGAAGCTAATCACTTTCCATTCCCATTCCTTGACCCCCACAGGTTCTTGACAATCAAAGGAACTGATCCATAGAGGCTTTGAGACAGCTGAGGGAAATGTTTAATTTCCTAAAAATTGCCCTGCCTGATGACATCACCAGCCTTATGCCACAGGATTTTAAACAAATAGGATTTCAGCCAATGCACTTTAAATGTTAAGTATTTGCAATGAAATAAAGTTTATATTTCTTACCTTGAACCTGCAAATTCAAAATAATTTCATCTGATCCCCAGTTGTTAGTGGCCACACATCTGTAATATCCGGAATCCTCTGCTTTCACAGTACGGATGACAAAGCTGCCATTACTAAAGATGCTTCTTCGCCCATCAATCGTCACTAGACTGGGTGTCCCGTTACTACCTCACAGGAAACAAAATTCATACATTAACGAGGTTACAACCAACATTACTCTGGACTGGGGTTACTTTCAAAAGCATGGAGGGAAATGCTAGGTAAGAATTTTGCCAGATTTGAGAGGCTGAAGGATTCATTAATGAATGAATGAATGGGATCTTGTAGACCTTTGGATGTTGTCAAGCTCTAACTCCCATCTGCCCAGGCCAGCACAGCCAATGGTGGGTGATGATGGGAGTCCAACAACTCCTTGAGGGCCACAAGTTTCCCACCCAGCAGTAGAGAAGATGAGGGAAAAAGAGAGAACCACCATCAATCCACCAAGCAGTGGAGGTTGGTTTGTCCTGCCAATGTAAGAATAACCATGATTCATCACATTGAAGGTCCATGCTGGGTGGAGCTGTTATATGTGTACTGTAACTGCTGCAATATATGTTTAGCAGCAAATGAGCAAATGGGATACTTAAGCTTTTTCAGTAGCCAACTTCAGCAAGTGAGAGTGGGTGCTGCCTTGCCATGAGGGCAAGGGGAGAGAAGAGGGGAGGGAAAGAGACTAAAATAGGAAACTTAAAGGAATAAAATATTATGTTAACTTAATCTTCACATTCACTACAGGCATGCTATTTGCAGCAGGGCTTCTGTGTATATGTGTTAAGGAGCGTCAGATACAGGACAGTACTGTGATCTATATAATTATATTTTAATACATTTGGGAAGTCCCTAAACATTGAAGAAGAATGATCTGAAAGGTAAAGCTGCTGTGAAGAAAACAATGGATCACACAGATCTTCTCTAACAGGTTACTGCTTTACAAATTTTGCAGAGGTAAAATGGCCCAGTCCTACAGAACAGTTGTGATATGTGGTCTCCTACAGCTAAAGCATTAGAAAGCAACTGGTGGTTAGGTTTGAGTGAATCAGGGGAATCAAAAAAATATGGGACTGATTTCTGTATGCTACTATTAATAGGACAGACTCTAATTATACAATCGTATAAAATTTGTAAATGCAAAAACTGCATGACAAGAACCTGTCAGGTTATAGAACGCTGTCAAAAGCAGGTGGAGGTGTAAAGAAATCAGAAGTCAAGAAGATTCTGTGAGTCTTTCTATAAAGCCTGTGGCTGAGAGCAACTGAGATACCCAATTTCTACATGACAACACCCCTCCCCCATGAAAGAACTAACAAAAACAAAAACAAGGGTTCTGACTCAGGCTACTGGTGATCTAAAGATGGAAAAACCAGGAAAAATAAATCCCCAAGGAAATGGAGAATGGGGAAACTGGCCTGTTAAGCAAAGCAAAGCAAAGCAAAGCAAAGCGTGCTGCTTATATACTGCCCCATAGTGCTTCAAGCACTCTCTTGGCAGTTTACAAGTTAATTAAGCAGGCTACACATTGCCCCCCAGCAAGCTGGGTACTCATTTTACTGACCTCGGAAGGATAGAAGGCTGAGTCAACCTTGAGCCAGCTACCTGGGATTGAACTCCAGGTCATGAGCACAGTTTGGCTGCAGTACAGCGGTTTAACCACTGAGATATAGGAACCACTGATGGCTTATAATCAATGTATGAGGGAAAAGGAATGAACATTTCATAATGGCTGTTAAAGAAAATGGACACCCTTTTCCTTTAACACTCTCCAGAACTGCATGCCTCCTGCACTTTCTATCCACATCATAGTGTTCTGAAATGCCCAATTTGCTGATGATGACAGAGTTCTGTTACTACATAAAACAATAGAGGAAGGCTGGGAGTGAAAAAGGAAAGTTACTTATCCTTTATCCTTTCCCCAGTCCTGAAACCTCATGTCAAACCCCCACCTGATTCCCCAAAATCTGGACAACATTTACAAGAGTCCTGACTCCAGCTACTGGAGATCTGAAGAGCAGCATCTACTTCTGTAATGGTGACAGCTGACAATAATGTGCCACAGAGGGTCCCAACAGGTGTCATAGTTACATCAATCACAATCCTTCCTTGTGATACACACACAGTTGCTGGTTACCTTTCTTTCATCCATTTGACTGTAGGAACCGGATCCCCAACTGCCTTGCAAGGGAGGACAATATCCTTCATCCAGGGAGTTGTTACAGTGCCACTGAATGTCAGAATTCTTGCAGGAGCTGCGGAATAAAAGCCAGAGAACTGGTTATAATGAAGATTCCACACATGCTTCAACTGAGGAAAACCAGAAAGGCTGCCTTAAACATTTCAAACAAAAATGTAGGTTCTTCTGGCTATGTTTATACGAGACTAATTAATTTCAACTCACATTACCAGGCTGCTGAATGAAACACAACTAATATCATTTTAATATCTGTAGAAAAAGGTGTTCAAAAATAAATATACAAATATATTCTAATCACAAATTCCTCTCTACTGGAAGGTCTCTCTGAAAGTGTCATGTACAGTAGGAGCCCCGTATCTATGGGGAATTGGTTCTATGATTTATTGTAGATACCTGAAACTGCAGATATAGGAACCCTCTATATATGTTACAGAAATATAACATACAAGGAGCTGGGACCAAGGCCACAAGGGGATGCCTTTGCACATTGTATAAAGGGCTGCAGGTAAAATGCCTGAAAGTGAAACCATAGATACTGTTCCTGGAGATCTGGGGATCCTACTGTGTACTTACGCTGCTAAGTTAACTTAGGATCTGCATTCAGATCCACTTTTAACCCTCCAGTAATTTTTAGAGATGAAAAAAGTGCTGTGCTACACTATACCACACTTAATATAACTTCATGGGAGAGGATATCCAGTGTGGTGTACTGGACAGAGTGATGGTCAGAGTTTGAATCCTTGCTCAGTCATGGAAACTCACTGGAAACTTTACTCTTTAAATGTCTCGCTCACCTTCAAAGCCCTATTAGGGTCACTAAAAGTCAGTTCTGACTTAATGGCACATAACAACAACAATGGGATGGGAGATGCAATTGTGAGTCTGGCCTTTCAATACCACAGATGGACATGTGTGATATCCATGGGATGGGAGGTGCAATTGTGAATACCACAGATGGACATGTGTGATATCCAGACTTTTCGCAGTTGCCCACCTCCATATTATAGAAACACAGGTCTACGTTTCTTGTCCCGCACATCTGTTCTATTTACTACTAAGGATTTCCCTTCTCCACTTCTGACAAATCTCTGTAAACATAACACCTTCTTTTGGGTGTCTTCTGACAATTTGCAAAACCTCCCAAGTTCAACAGCAGCAATCTGATTTGTTTCTCAGATCACTGCTTCCCATACTTTGTCAGAGAATGGGCCAATGGGGGGAAAATGTCAGGACTTCCTTTTCTTTAGTGATGGGGAAAAAAACTCCTAAGGTAAGACAGATTTTGACAGTTAAGTCAGCCTACAGTTCAGTTTCTCTAATGATATGTGATCATTAAATTAAAATAATGCAGAATTGCGAACTGTCAAGAACTTTAGATGAGAGTGAATAAAGAAATGACATCTGACAAAAGATGCAGCAACATTTTGATAAACTGGTAGTGGAGCTAAGGCAGCTGTGAGAGGAAACTAGATGCTTCATGCCTCTCACTTGAGTTCCAGGAGCAGAGTAATGAATATGGATGGGTGAGAATTCTATTCCAGATCATATTCTAATATCAGGATTTACCAACATTTGAATATGGAGAAAGTGAGACTTTTCAATTTCGATCTTAAAGAAGTGCTCTGGATAATTTTCGCTAGGTGAATGCATGACTCTGTAAGCAACTGATATTTGAAACAATTCCACCCACTTTGATTAGGAGAATTAGCTTCCAAATTGGGGGATGTCGTTTAATTTATGGGACACAAAGGAGCAGGATGAGGTTTGGATTGCCTGCCTGCAACACAATGCTGACAAAAATTACTCTAAAATACTGTACAGTACTTCTGATTCCAGCAGAGCTACCCACAGGATCACACAAGTATGTCTATGTTGCACACAATATACCTTGTTGCATTAAAAAAAAAACACCTTGCAAAAAGCACTTGCTGCTTTCTATTAAAAGAAGCCAAAATCAGTTGTCAACAGTCTAGTTTGGATGCCACTAGATGTGATATTGTTAAAGTAATATGTTTACAGTAATATCAACCTTGTGGAAACACTGTACACAAGAACAATTTGTACTCAGGCAATGAAGGTTAAAACTACAGAACAGCACTGGGATCCTGTTATTTTTAAAAGCATTCCTCTGTTCTACCACATGTAGTCTGGTGTAAGGAAAAAAGATAATTTATAATTTAAAGGATAAGGTCAGAAGCCTTAACTTATTTTAAGCTATTCATTTTAAAAGTCACTTTAGTTCCTAGATTCTTCTTTTCTTTGAAACAGGGGTTTCTGCAACATGAATTACCCTTCATATTCCCAGAGAACTTTCAAGAGTTTCACAGCACTGCTTTCACATCACTTGCAATTATTGCGCTGCCAAATTCTACAAAATTGTCCTGTAGATAATTCCCAAAGTTTTGAATGTAACTTTGTTCCCTTTTATCCCTATTATATTAAAAATGTTAATTTTGTTGCACTTGGGGTGATCGTGAACTTGTCTCGCTCAGTGGCTGGAGGTACTAAGTTTAGTCACCTATGAGGACTGCTGGGTAGACTTGAGAAGTCATTCTCTTTTGACCTAACAGTGACTGGTCACAAAAGCAAAAACCCCTCCCCAGTGTCTTAGGTCCCAGTGGAATGGACTGCCTTGTCATAAGGCTGTCTATTGAGAATTCTCCAATCTCTGTAAGAATTGCAATGTCCACTATGAGAATGAGACAAGTTCTTTTTTGGTCACTGCAAAACAAACATCTTTCTTTTACATATATTCCTATGCACATGCACGAGCACACAGTGAGTACAAAAGGAGAGATGTATCAAAAGACACAAAGAATCTATGCAATACAATCAGGTTTGCTAGTTTTTACAAGAAAGCAACACTTAATGGTATTTTTCAATAATGCAAGTATTTTCAGAAATGCTCCAAAATTCAGTCTTGCAAATGATCAAACCAGCTTTGATACTATCTCCTCTCCTCCTCTCCCTCGCCAAAATTTTGCTGTCTTGTGGTGAGGAGACAAAATGTCATGCTTTTTGGAGGTGTCATGAAAAGTAGAAACCAATTGGAATTTATATTCGTACTCCCGGGTGGGTTCTGAGGTTCAGATGCTCCTGATGGTTAACAGGCAATTGCAGTTAATTTTTTTTTTAAAAAACATACACTTACTAAAAAAGCCCACAGCTATGAATCTGGAGCAAAAACAAATGTGGAGTAATTTGCATGACAGGAGGCATAAAAATAGATCCTTCATCTTTTAAGATTCAGAGCTGAAAGCTGTCAGGTTGACTTCGCAAGTACCAATTCTAACACAATTGGTAATGTAGTTATAATTTTTCTAATGGCGCAAAAAACATGATAATGCCACAAAAAGCCATTTTGGTTCCAGAAGGCTGCACTGCATGCACTGAGCATGCTACAGCCAAACACTTTAAAACTCTCCCTTCCACACATCCTGCTCCAGTGGTAGAACAGATCTGACTGTCAAATGCAAGAAGGGCTGGGCTGAGTTTCAGCAAGGCTTAATGCATGCTGTTGTTATAGGTTTTCAATTTGTTTAAAACCTATGGTGCCCCTATCAAAGTTAGGGTTGCTGCCTCCTCCACTACCACCCTTCCACCCATCAGACCTTTTTCCGATCTGTGGGACAGAACAAACTTGAAGGGGAAAAAGAAATCCAAATACAAATTTCCATGGCCAATAGGGATTGTGATTCTCTTTATACATTATTAAGCAGCGTGCTAAATTTGAAATAGAAAGCCACTCAGGATCAAACTGCCAGTTAAGGCATATTTCAGTCATGTATGCAAAATAGAAGCAAGTACAATAAGGAAGAAGAGACTACAAAGAACCATCCCAGATCCTCCTAGACTAATTAGACAAAGATAATTTGGCATCAAATCTAACCAGCATGTTTACACTAAGACAGCTTTTATCCTTTCCAAGTAACATCTAAAATTAAATTGCACAAAGTGCTCCTTGAAAAGCTCCATGAAGTTGCTGCATGACTGCACTGAACTGTTAAAAAAACAGCACAGGAATGGGAAAATAATTATTCTTTGCACTATAGGATCGCCATGAAATCATGCTGCTCACAGTTTCTTCGAGAGAAACCTCAGATTCTCAAGGCTATTGTTCCAATATTAACTGTGTGCTGTCAAGTCAATTCTGATTTATGACAATCCTTTTCAGGGTTTTCCAGGTAGAGAATATTGAGAAGTGGTTCACGATTCCCTTCTTTTGGAGGGACTGTGCAGCTTGCTCGAGGCCACTCAGGCGGGCTCTTCTCAGATGCAGTGGGGAGCTAAACCCCCAACCTCTGGCTTTGTAGCCAGATACCTAACTCACAGCGCTATCTAGGGAGCTATTGTTCTAATAAGAAATAAATTAAAAATGTCACTCGTGCTCACAAAAATAATTTCTGCTAATCAAATGAAGCCTGGCTAATGAAATTTTATTACGTCCTTCACAGATTTCCATAAGGCACCAGAGCCACACAATATGTGATAATTCCAGAGTGCTTTCAATAGAAATCTGTTTATTTCCCTGGTGAGATGAGCTTTTTCAGGGTTGTAGCTCTGTACATCTACAGTAGATCACTAGAAGTTTATCTTTTCTTTGAAAGGGTGACACCTGAAGCTCTTCTTTTGCCACACTACATTTCTACCACCTGGGTTATTTATCAATTTAATTTTTTTCCCCCCTATCAGAGACCTTTCAGCCACTTGTCGCCAGGGCTCAGTTCATCGCATAATGCCACAGAATTGCTGGACCTGGACAGCAACCCAGAGGACTAAACTGTTCCACTTTCAACACTGAAAAGTTTTATAGAAGTTTATAGACGGCCATGCAGGTAGCTACGGGACACAGAGCTTTTTCCAAGCACTGACTGTGCCTCCTAATCATTACATTTCTGATCCTTTGACCCACTGCTTTGGAAGAAAGATGAAGTGCTGCCTGATGTAGAAGAACTGGAGAAAATCTGAAGAGTGCCACACAATTTCTGATTATATCATTAGTGTTAAGCCTGCTTCTCTGGGTCACAACCCAGCATGATCTCCAAATAATTTGTTCTGACCTGCAAATAGACAACCAGATCATCTTCCCATCTCTTCCAGTCCTTAAGTTGCATACCGTTGTTTTGACCCATGGTATATACCTTTAGCTAATGGTTCCACAGTAATAATTTCACTGCTGTTGCCCCTTCCTGCTGCTGTCACAGCCACCACCCAGACACTGTACTGTCGGTTTCGACTCAGATTGGGGATTCTGTAGGAAAATGAGTCAGGAGAAGCTTCAAACTCGCTGATTACCTGTGGCAGGAGAGACAAATATTCCCGAACTAAAGTAAACAATATACATATAGAGAGAAAAAGGAAGAGGCGAAGGAGGGGAGAGAATGTGTAACCATTAAGTGCAATCATTTCAGACAGACTGGAGATGATAATTATGCTAATAGAACTTAAATATGCCCATGAGTTATAGCCAGCTGGTTCAAAGCATTTAGTTTTACCTTATGCCTGCAAAGAGTAAACATACCTAAGGTGGTTGTTGTTGTTTAACCTAACTGATGTTTTTGGTGAGCATGCTGCACTGGTGGATTTGTTCATTTTTTGACTAGACACTTTATTTCACCCTGCTTAGAGACTAAACAAGGAGGCAGAACAAAGGATGGTATGATGGACCTCCCTTAACAGACATTTGCTTGCTTGTTGGCAGGGATTCAGACTACCTGTGGGATGGACAGATCCATGTGTTTGCATCTGCCAAAATCACTTAAAAAGGGATGAAGGTTCAAACATGCCACGAGAGAAACAAAATAAAGAAATCTGTCAAAAAAATAAAATCCCTCAAGGTGAGAAAGAGCTCTTCTGTGCCCCAGGGTCTTGCTGCTTTCCGAGGCCCTCTTTTCTCTGCTTTCTGTGTATGGGCCACATGAGAAATCTAGTCTTTTTCCAACTTCACACCCACTCTTGACGTCTCAGACAACTGCCCATAGTTCTGACTTCAAAACCTGATCCTGATACGTATACAATCTCCAGTCTAACAGTGATTCAGCTAATGATTTGGCTATTTGTCAACATTCTGCTGACAAAAACTGGACTGAGCTTTTGATATTTTGCTTATACATTTTCCTCTAATTTTGTTTCTAATATTTTCACCCTGTCGTTTTAGCTGAATGGGTGAAGGGCGAGTCAGGCAATCAGATGGGGCTTCTGCGCGCTTAAATGCTCTGCATGGCACAAGAAGGAAAGAATTTCAATCCTTGTATGGTTCAAAACATGCAAAACAACCAAAAAACCCGAACAAAATGCAGTTAGTACTTCTGAATGTCCAAGTCTGATTTATTATGAAAGACAACAATAGCAAGTTTCTTTTCCAAAGTTCATTGTGCCTGATGCATTTTAACAACGTGTCTCAAATGAAAAGCCCCCACCCCCAGCAGTCTTCATGTAAACTGAGTACAAGACTGGAGGTCATCAAATGCGAGCACAAGCATTTATTAGGAAAAAAATACTTTTATAAGTTATCATTTCAAAGTAAATGGATGAGACAGCAAACGAAAACACTGGGATATTGTTACACCATTTGCTATGTAAACATCTAGCGTAGCACTAAACTACAGTCCATTCTTGAGCATCTGACGACAACTCTGTAACTATACAGTATTTCTCCATATTTGTTATTAAAGCAAACACTTCTACAAATTAAATGGTACTGCATTCTTTCCAGATACTAAAAAAATGTAAAAGAAAAAAAAAGCTGAAGCAAGACTTATAACTCTCTATCTTGCACTGGATTTGGAATGTTTACATTTCATGGCTTTCCACTGTAGAAAATATGACTGCCTCATGAAGCCTGGAAAGTTTAAAATAATAATAATAATAATAATTTAGAGACACCAGCCTATGACAGAACACAATGCTTGCCTTACTTTCCCTCATGAATATGCAGCAATGTTTCAAAGGGAGGTATGTTTGGTTTATCTAAACACAAGCTAACTGAGATTATCTACATGTGGTGGTAGGAAGATTTTGAAATACTACTGTATAAATTGTAACTAGATTGAAGAAAATTCAGCACGGAAGAAAAACAAATGAATGCCTTTCTTCTATCACTCTGCTGTCATTGTGGGGATATGTGACCCACTTAACAAGTTCTGAAGTGCATCAGAAACAGAAAACCGCTGTAGTGAATCTGGTTTTATTTGTAGGATTTCTCAGTTTAGTGTCAGAGCAGTCTCTAGTGGTGTGCTGCTATAATTACATTTTTCTTGATTTTAGCAATGAAAAAGGTTCTGGAGGGAGATCTAGGAAGCCGATTAGGAGGCTAACTACATGGGCTGTTTAGCCAGCTGTCTGGAGTGCTGCAGGGATGGGCGGGAATTCTCTTAAAGCAGGTAATCAGATAATATCTTTACTAGCCAGTCAGCCCTAGGAATGTTCTTATCCACACCTTTCTGGCCCCTATCCAGTGGGCTTCTACTTTTCTGGTGTGAGTACGATTGCTCTGATTTGGATCAGTTCCAGGGTGTGTGATCACTGCAACCAATCCAAAGCAAGTCTTCCTCTTTCAGTTTACCAATATCATGAAGTGGCTTAATAAGCAAATCACTTCAGGATATTGGGAAATTAATCACTTCACCTGTTCAACAAAGGCCATGGGAAGTGGGAAAAGAATTTTTTTTTTTGATTGCATGCAGACTGCTGCTGATACATTATATCAGTTATCTAAAACATATTTTCTTTGTCTTGTCTCAAAGTGACGGTTGGGAAACCAGCCGCAGTTGAATCCATAGTGGTGACTTTGACTGCAGGCAGTTTCTTGAACAGTTCTTTCAGAGAAGGCAAAGAAAAAAATGTTTAATTTTTAAATAACTGATTCAGTACATCAGCAATAGACAATATACAGTCAAAAAATTTTTTTCTCTTCTCCTGCCATCTGCCAACCAGGGGAAGTGATTAATCTGCCAATATCCTGAAGTGGCTTGCTTATTAAGTCATTTCACAATATTGCCAGGAGCCATTTCTAATTAAACCCAACCATTCCCAAGTAGCCAACAATATTGCACTCCCTACTGCTATTGTAGCCATACCCAAGGTAATTTCAGAGATGTTGACAATGGAGCAACCAGAGCAGTCTATCCCTAGTCAAGAATCTTTGAGGTTCTGATTTAAACATGGCTGTTGGTTTCTTTCCACTTCTGTGCAGATGAGTGAAATTCATCCAAAATCAACAAAAATATTACAAAGATATAATTATGAGAGAGGGTCAAACATTCAGGTTGCTAATATATGTAAGCCATGGACATATGTAAGCTTAACACCCACAGTGGGTGTGGTGGAATGAATGGGAAAAAAAGCTTGAAAATAAATCCAGTTACTAAACACATCCTACTATCTCCCTGTGACAAACGGCAACTGTTTCAATAAGGAAAACAGCATAAAATCTTGTGTGTCAGGCAACTGCTTAAGAAAGAGCCCACAGTGCTATCTGGTGGTTATTTTAAAGCAGGGCAAATGAAATTCTTTCCAAACATGTCTAAACCCAAAAACACAATGAAGATTAAACCATGGTTAGCATTACTAAACCCACACTCCATGAACAATAATAAAACTGTTGCCTGTGTTGTAAAACCAGCAGACAGCTTGATTATATTTCAAAGGCATAAAATCATCTGGGTTTGTGTAGGTATTAAATTTCAGAACAAAAAAACTCACATTCTATTCCAGGTTTCAGGACAATAAACAATGCTGCTGACAAATGAAGTGAGGAAAACATCTTAATAGCATTTCAAACACACCAGCAACAGATTTAAAAAGTGTTACAATGTTTTTGACACCTTTTAATTTTCTGCAGTACTTTTCTACCTTCCTTTTAAAGGAGTACACAAATTTTTGTCAGTAAACTGTGATTAGCAAATGTTATATTCCTTTAGCTGTTTAACATATGAGAAAGAAACCTGCATCTCTCTTTAGTTCCAGACTGATTAATTAATTACTTGTAGGGTTGTAGATATCACTGTGTCTGCACACAATAAACACCACAAAAGCCAGAAAGTTTTTGGAGTTATGCTGGCCCACAGGTACTTCTCTGGTGGGAAATGAAACATTTCCATCGCTTGTCAGTGAATCCATACTGTGAACCCTCAAAAATATCTGGGATCAGTCTGTAACTTTTCAGAGTGAACCAACTGTCTTGTTAGGCCAAACATGGAGTGCCATCCTGTATATAGGGTGGTTACACTGGAAGAGCAGGGCCCCAAAAATGTGCACTTCAGGGTTTTTTTTGGATGAAGAATCCTATACTTCTCCTTTCTGGAAATCCCAACTGCAGGATTCAGACTTAAATTAACTTCACCTGGAGAAAAAGCCCAACTGCCAAGCTTCATGCTTTGGGTAGGTTTAACTTCCTGATTGAAAAGAAGTGGCCCCAATGGCTGTTGGGAGCCTTCCTTTTCAATTGGGACATTAGGCCCATCCCAAGCATGAAGACTGCCAATTGGGCCTTATTTCCAGGTGAAGACAGTTTGGACGTATGTAAGGAGTGGAGATGAATGTGGGACACCTAGAAAGGAGAACTATGGGATTTGTCATCCAGAAATTCTGAAATGTACATCCCCACGTCGTTCCTAAGAGGGGAATGGCTGCAGACCTAGGTAACACCCTCTTGCTTAGGTCATAAGACACTTATGGCAGAGGCTCCAGAATGCACATGTATGCTCCATTTTGTACAACACTTGTTCCTGTGGGAATACAATAACAATGAATACTTAATTGATTACCGCATGTGTTCTGTTAAACAACATGTACTCATCTGAAAGGTATGGATCAGGCCAGTTCCTTTAGGAATTCAAACAGCTCAAATACCTCAAGTATCATTACTTCTTTCCCTATGTATGATGATAAAAACCATCAACTGCAATGATATTCTTTCTCTTTCAGTGCACATATGTCTAGACAATTTTATTAATCATTAAAATACAGGCATCTTTTCTTTAACATTTTGCAAAAATACCAATGGAATATGCAGTTTAGATATAGCAGCTCATGTAAAAATTTGTATTCCTTCATGACTTTGAATGTATTTTTTAAAAAAGCATATTACCAAGATATTTCGTTTTATTTTGATTGTCTTGAGCAGACAAACCAAGTGTTTCGTATGCAAATATGCCTATATATAAGCACACACATTTCTTCAAACATTATTTTCACTATGTCTAATTAATTCCACAAGGGTCTCTTTACAAAAAAGTGTTTTATTCATATTTTAGCCTGATATAGTTGATCTTAACAATAGCATAGTGGAACAGGAATTCAGGGAACACATTTTTGCACCAGGAGAGGTGGCATTACCTAACTATGTAAGAAGAACTGAGAGATTACTCTTGGACCAGTGAATGAGATGATAGTGAAGTTTTCTGGCTTTACAAGTGCTTGTGCAGGGGAATATGCTCGGCATACATTTTGTAGAAGCATTCCCTCATGTGGTGAGAGATATCTGTCATAGCAGATGATTTTCCTCACCTACACATCTTACATTTTAGTGCTCTTTGTTTTGAGTTTGGTCATTGGAAGGTAAATGAGCTTAATTCGCAAATCTGATTGCTGGAGCATCTGTCTCCAAGCAGATCCCATTATAGAAAGGGAAACACACATTCCTCTTAATATCGGGTCTGATAAAGTGATTATCATAGAATAAGTCAGAGAATGATGGAAGTAAGAAAGTAGAGCCAGAGTTCTTTCTTTTTCTTCCCTCTCCTGTCTTCCTGTTGCAAATTAAACAACATTCTTAGTAACACTTCAGATTCTTGGCATCTGAGTTGGAGGTTACATCTGCACTGGTTGAAGATGTTTTGTTTTGCCTAAGGCTCTCACCTCATTTTGCCTCAGGGTAGGACCAGGCCCGCGTAACCCTGTCCTTTACAAAGCAAGGAATGGAAAGGGGAACTACGTCAGCTCCTCTGGCTATTTTTAGGATAGCTTATTACAGTGTGGAAAACTGGAAGATGAGGAGATAAGGAATAACTATGGCAAGAATCTCTTGCAAATCCCTGGCCTTTCTTCATCATGCCCTTTATGCCATGCCAAACTTTTTTTAGGTTTTAGAAATAAAAATGATGAAAACAGCAAATGAAAAAAATCCACTTTCCTCTGCCCTAAGACAGACTGAAGTCCTGTTTTTGTTTTTTAAAATATTTAGTACTGCTTTTATAAACTTACAGTGGGGTATGGATGAGAGCAAAACACAGTGTACTTTCGGATGACGCCATTCAGTTTTATTGGAGGTAACCAGGATACAAACACAGTGGAAGCTGAAGCGGCAGCTGCTTTAACCCCAGCAGGAGGACCTGGAACTGTAAGAGCAATAGTTGGTTATTTAAGTGGGCAAAAAACAATCAAGGCTTATTGGCTGCAGAGCATGACCTAAACCAGTGGTTCTTAACCTTTGTTACTCGGATGTTTTTGAACTGCAACTCCCAGAAACCCCAGCCAGCACAGTTGGTGGTGAAGGCTTCTGGGAGTTGCAGTCCAAAACTCCTGAGTAACCCAAGGTTAAGAACCAATGACCTAAACAACCATGGCTTGTTTAACCACGCAACTGTCTCAAGCCCAGTTTTTGGTGGAACCAACAGAACACTATGTACGTAATCTTGAGGTTATGTGGAAAATATGAAAGTGGACCTTCTCTAATCATTCCATGAAGCCATTTGGGCGTGGTAGAACACTTCTGGCATTAAACGGAACAGCACCATTAACACTTGAGGTATATACTCAGGAAAGGTTTTTTAAAGGTATTCCTTATGCTGAATGGAAGTATTTCCTGCTACTTTTGTCAATGAGCACCTTTTTTTCCCCCAGAAAGCACTAGTTTCAACAAAATGGTCAGAAACAACAATCAGTTCTCTAGAAATTTGGTGTTGGCATCAAAGGAATCAGCACTATGAAATGATGATGATGTCTGAAAACAAGAAACTAAAACTATCCTAAAATGGAAATATTTTCTTTGGAAATAACGTGAAAATGTTTTCCAGCCTAAAATCTTCCCTTTTTTAAAATGTTTCCAATTTTCCTTCCCACTTATTATTTCAATAATTCTGTTGCCCCCTACACCATTCAATTGCAGACCTGGTTCATGCAATGTTTAAAACTAAAATATTTGTATAAGTTTCTAAAGACAATCACTTTACTACAGTCAATGCGACTCAATATATTGTATCTAGTCACTACGATTAGCAATGTGATTTTTAAATGTTTGCTTTATAAGTATATCTCTCTCCCTTCAATGCAAAAACAGTTGTAATACAGCTTAGAAAATGAAATGGAAACAAAATCGTAAGAGCACATATATTTTGGAAATGCAACAACAACAGATGAGGAACAGATGAAAGTAGGAATGGGAACAATTCATTACAGGTTGGAATTCAAAACCTGAAAAAGTAACAGGGCTGGGGACAGCAAAGGGCATTTGTCGACTCATGAGAAGTAGAAAAGTATTGGGCCACCAGAGCCAAAAAGACCACCTTATCAAATGCCACCCTTCTCACCTGAAATGGTTGGGGGCACTTGGACAAATGCAACTGAATGTGCATGCAGGCTTCTAACACATCAGACAAACCTTTGGTACCTGGGATGGTATCCAGTGGAGCTATAGTCATGGCCAAAAATATTGGCACCCTTGCAATTCTGTCAGAAAATGCAACCCTTCTCTCAGAAAATTGTTGAAGTTGCAAATGTTTTGGTAGTCACATGCTCATTTCTTTTGTTTGCATTGGAACAACACAAAAAACAGAAGGAAAGTCAAATCTGATACAATCCCACACAGAAACCCAAAAATGCACTGGCCAGCATTATTGGCACCCTTAATTTAATATTTGGTAGCACCCGCTTTGGAAAAAATAATTGAAATCAATCACTTCCTGTAATCATGAATGAGTTTCTTACACCTCTCTACTGGAATTTTGGGCCACTCTTCTTTGGCCACTGCTCCAGGGCCTTCAGATTTGAAGGATGCCTTCTCCCAACTGCTGTTTTGAGATCTCTCCACAGGTGTTCTATGGGATTCAAATCTGGACTCATTGCTGGCCATTTCAGAACTCTCCAGCACTTTGTTTGTAACCATTTCTGTGTGTTTTTTGTAACCATTTCTGTGTGTTTTTTGTTTCGGGTCATTGTCCTACTGGAAGACCCATGACCTCTGGTGGAGATTCAGCTTTCTGACACTGGCCACTACGTTGAGCCCCAAAATTCTTGGGTAATCATCAGTTTTCATGATACTGTTCACACAGTCAAGGCATCCAGTGCCAGAAGCAGCAAAGCAACCACAAAACATCTTTGAACCTCCACCATGTTTGACTGTAGGGACTGTGTTCTTTTCTTTGAATGTCTTGTTTCTTTTTCTGTAAACAGTGCCATGATGTCCTTGACCAAAAAGCTCTACTTTTGTCTCATCTGTTCACAGTACGTTCTCCCAGAAGGATTGTGGTTATGTCACATAAGTTTTGGCATACTCCAGTCCTGCTTTTTTAATGTCTTTGTGCCAGCAGTGGTGTCCTCCTGGGTCTCCTACCATAGCATCCCTTTTCATTCAGACGGCGACGGATAGTGTGAGCTGACACTGTTGTACCCTGTGTCTGCAGATCAACTTGAATTTGTTGGGAAGTTAATCTGGGTTCTGTATCCAGCATCCAAACAACCCTTCGTTGTAATGTTTCAGTAATTTTGCTCTTCTGTCCATGTCGAGGGAGGTTAACTACAGTGCCATGGGCTGTAAACCTCTTGATGATATTGTGCACAGTGGACACAGGAACATTAACATCTCTGGAGATGGACTTGAGATTGTCAATGTTTTTCCACCATTTTTTCTCTCAAATCTACAGACAACTCTTTACACTTCATTCTTTTCTCCATGCTCAGTGTCACACACAACACAAAAGTTGAGTCAACTTTTCTCCATTTTAACTGGTTGCAAGTGTGATTACTATATTGCCCACACCTCTTACTTGCCACAGGTGTGTCTAAATACAAATTAAGTGAGCATCACATCCTTGAAAAGCAATTATTTCTTACAATTTAGACAGGGTGCCAATAATTTTGGCCAGTGTATCAGATTTGACTTTTCTTCTTTGTGTTTTTGTGTTGTTCCAGTGCAAACAAAAGAAATGAGCATGTGACTACCAAAACATTTGCAACTGCAACAATTTTCTGAGAGAAGGGTTGCATTTTCTGACAGAATTGCAAGGGTGCCAATATTTTTGGCCATGACTGTATTGCAATTAGTTGAACTAGGATAGTGCTTTTAGTCAAACAAATTAGTAGGTCTGGGTTTCACCAACCCCTCTAGCTTTCTGAGGTTCTCCATGATGTAATGCATTCTGTTCTGTAACATCCTATACCTCCTTATATACAGTTTATCCAGGAAGATGTTTTTGTGTGTGTGTGTGTGTCTTTAAATACAGAAGGACCACTGTAAATTGATTCATCTGAGCTATATGAGTGGAAGCATTTTCCACAAAGGCAAAGCAACTGCTGGACATAAGTGCAAACCCTGCTCAGGGCCAAGTCATGAGGGCTTCAAGTATTTTGACCTGACAGGCTTGCTTTTTGGCAAGAACTTCAACAATTTGCAAATTTGATGGAAAAGACCTGAGGCTTTAAAAACCCAGAGCTAGGATTGCCAAGACTTCTTTTCCTCCCTCATAATGCATAATGCACTTTATAATGCATTGTTTCTAGTGAATGCCATCATTCAACTCCACCGATCCCCTGCCCCCATTGCATCCAAATTCAACAGCTGGTAAAAAATGCAGTTTAAGCCTAGAACGTGGAAAGAAAAAGACTGTACCTACTTAAATCGTAATGATCAATGAAATATATTCTTAGATGGGAAGACAGTGGATTAATAAGCAACTCTATTTATAGATGAGAAGGAATTCCAGAACAAAAGAGAAAAATAGAATAGATGAACAGGCAAAACCAGAAATGTCAGTTGCAATTTTCACCATGTCAGGAACATCTTGAATAGGAATAATAGGTTTCCTCTATTAGCTTTGGAAAAACGAAATGATGTAAGCCTCTGAAAGATTCTTGGTTTTATCTGTACAACCAAAACTATTTCTTTTATGTCAGTTCAAGTGAAGCCATGCTTGACCTCTGGTGTCTAAAATCAAGCACTGAGTGTGATAAGAAAGGGAAATGAAAACACGTAATGCTTCTGGACTTTTTTTTCCTTCTCTCATAGCTTCACTCTTACTTTAGGAACAAAGGAAAATATTGTTTCTTTTTGTATTTCATTCTTTCCCTAACTAGATGACATTCTCACAAAATTATAGGAAAAGATTGTCTGTTATATCTTGTTCAAAGAAGGAACTGGGTTCAGTCCCCTCATAAAATGTATTTTTCTTATGAAAAGTAGTGTTTCTTTATATTGTCCTATTGGCAAAGAGTAACAGTGAAATTCAGAAAAATTAACAGACAATAAATGGAGAATGTTGTATTCTGGAATGTATCCAGACCTCATCTAAGTTCATGTGTACACACAGACAAACACGCAGGGGGAGAGAAGGGGACTGCTTTCATTTTAAATGAAGTAATGCATATCATCCTGATCAGGAGATGCCACATTCAAAGAACGCAAACGTACATACTGAAATGTGTTGGAGGCACCTGCAGAGCAAAAGGCATATTTAATAAAAACAAACCCAGATGGGGATAATAAGGAAGCTTTGACAAATTGTCAGTAGGCAACATTAAAAGAGAAGCATGCTGTACATTAGGAAGTGGATTGGGATCAGGTAGGGAAACAATCCTAATTTCAAAACATAATGAGTGTAATATTCTGTAAAATAGAGTGAACTCTCCAAAGTTATATTCAGGCTAATGACAAAAAATTCTCTGATCCCACCACCACCACCACCAGGGAATGTAACACAAAATTGGGAAGGGGGGAAACAGACCCTCCTATTAATCCCCCAAGTGCTCCAAACAACATCCCTGCCATCCCTCCCTAATACCCCCAAAGCTCTTTCCACCTAAAACGAACCCTTCTCTTTCACTTTGCTTGTCCTTTGCAAGTGGTGGCAGAAGCAAGGTTTGTCCCTTTCTTCTCATGCCTTCCCTTTACAGACAGGATAAGGGTACAGTAAGGGCTAAAGCCCAAGTCATCATGGAAAATGTAGGCCTTTTTTGAGGACAGCACCAGCCCTTGTTTTCTCCTATATAGAATTTTTTTCTCCTGACTGCAGCCATTGTCTAGACTGTATATATATCAGATTAAACCAGCATGGAATACTGCATCTGGGAGTGATATATATATATGTATCACTCCTAGATGCAGTATTCCATGCTGGTCTAATCTGATATATATCTCACTCCTAGATGCAGTATTCCATGCTGGTCTAATCTGATCCAGCATTGCTCCGTCATTCTGCTTAACTCCATCCTGCCGACCCCACTTGGCTGACTCCCTGATCTAAACCAAATTGTTAGTTTCAACTAGAAGTTACCCCTGGAATCAGTCCCTGAGTGTTAACTCAACATGTGTGCAAATCCCTGATGCAAATGACTCAATTCTATCTGAGGCTAGCATGTGAATTTGGAAACATTTACAAACATGATTTTGTGCAAATGATCTTGGGCTTAAAGGAGTTCTTTTTTTTTTTTTTTTCAGAATCCCTCAAACAGCATGACCAGTGGCAGTGACAGCTGGAGGATTCTGGGACTTGTGGCCAAAAAGGAAAGACTCAGAGCCCTGGATCTGCCTGTCTGATCAGAAACCCATCTAACCCCCCAGTCAGGCATTTTGGCTTTGCTAGTGGAATCGTTAGTGACAGGATTCCTTCTCTGACGCAACCTTTCCCAACCTGAGTGTCTCCTGATTGGTTGGTTGATTCGACTTCTATACCATCCCATAGTACAAAAACACTCTTTGGGTGGTTTACAACCTAATTATGCAAGGAACGCTTAAACTATTAGCCCCAACCAACAAAAGAAATGATGGAGGGATGATAGAACAGGTAGTTATGAACAACTGAAAGATCCATTTGAGTGAATGTTGATTAAAGAAAATGTATATCCCCCAAAAGCTCATTATCTTGTTGGAGGAGAAGATCCCTGTATATCCACAGCTATCTGTTTCATATAAGAGAGAATAGTGTGCTAATCATTTATGAAAAGTGAAGAAGACAAAGCACAGTAGCATTGACCCATTTTAAAATAGCTATTAAGTCTATTTGACTTCTTACCATCCTCTTTCGTTCGTGTGAAAATTTGCTCACTCCTGACCCCGTCTCCAGCTCGTGTGAATGCCAACACTTGGATGCTATAGTTGGTGTACTTTTCCAAACCATCAAGCTCTAATGAGGGCTGTGTAGTGGTAACGTTTTTAATTTCTCCCAGCTCTATGGAGCAAAACATTAAATTGAGTTAGTAGCCGTGCCACTTTTTGCCCATTGGAGAGTAACTATATTGCTATGAATACCAGCCAGAAAATGTGAGAATAAAATCTGTAAGTATGGCACAGATCAGGTTTATTGTGATTATTAAATAAACATGTTAAATGCCCATATTGGTAGCTCCATAGCGGGCATTTAATTATAAAAACTGCAACTATTTTATAGAAAGAAATAAATGTGCAAAACTCTTTGAAATTTAAAATACATGATTTTAGACTCAGGGCAGTTTTGCTTTTTTAATGTAGGTTGTTAATCTATCTGAATTAGAAAATGTTGCAAAGTTACATTTTACTTTTAATTTACTGATTATTTTAATGATTTTCAATTTTTGTTTATATTGGAAGAATACTGCAAGATAATTAGTACATGAATGCTGTATGTTATTTGAATACGATTACACACATTTAATTGGATTGAAACAGTAAAAAAAAAACAATCCAGAGTGGTGCTCTCATTTCTAGAGGGGAATTGCTACATTAGGAATTTTCCACTGTTGTGCTTCCAATTTCTACATGATAAATGGATACATATCCAATTGTAACACAGTAAAAAAGGAAGCATGAGACAATTGTACATATGTTGTTGATGATGATTTGACTTACTGTATATACCATAGTATTAAGCACAACATAATTACACAAGCAACAATTTTGTTCCCTTGTGAGCTGGCTGCTCATTTTACCAACCTGGGAAGGACAGAAGGCTGAGTCAAACTTGAGCCAGTTACCTGAATCCGTTGGGATCAAAGTCACATCATGAGCAGAGACTTGACTGCAATACTGCAGTTTAACAACTGCTTTATTATGATATGTTCTGTGCAGTGTTTTCCCAATCAACAGGAGCATATGTATTCAACACGCTACACCAAAATACTCTCGAGGCAAACCTATATACCACTACTTCAGTTCTCTTTTGGTGTATTTGCAGCACGCTTTCCCAATACATATCTCTACAGCAGGAGCTGAAAGCTTCAGCAAATTGCACAGATATCAGCTCCAAATTTATTTATTTATTTTAGAAATATCGCATTTAAATCAGAATTTAAGACGAGTGGAATAGAAGGAAGAGTGTAAGCAAACCTATTTTAACAGGAAAGAAGAGGAATGGGAAAATTCCTCTCAGACCCAGGAAATACGATTTGAAGCTTGGGAAGAAAAATAACTTACCTCCATCCAAAAGATTAGCCCAGTATATAACCCTAAATCCCTGGAGAATTCCATTGAGAGCATCTTTGGCAAGTGTAGACCAGGTAATAGAGATGGTTTCTGGTGATGTAGCAATAGCTTGGACATTCTCAGGAGGGGAGCTGGGAACTGAAATTAGATACTTTTCAGTTGTGAGTAATTTTTAGGAAAAAACTTAAGTTGAAAAAAGTGCAAAAAGTCCCTTCAGGGAAGTAATTTAGAAAAGAGCAATAATGGAAGTTTTTTTTTTCCAAGAACAGCCTTGCAAAACATAGTACTGTCTTTGTGAGTTCATAGATTATGGATCTGCAATATTATTTCTAACCATTCCTGCCAAGGTTGGGATTTGTACCACAAGGGCAAAATGTCAAGTTCCTAGTTGGCTTTCATTTATATCCCTCAAGCAGCAACTTTTCCATCATCTACTATGCATGCATACCAGGGATGGGGACTCACTGTCGAGACTAACTTAAGTTGCACCAGCGACTTGACATAGACTCAACTTTTTTTTTTTTAAGACTCAGATCTGACTTGCAACTTGGACCATTTTTCCAAGTTGCATTTCTGAGTCTCTGTTATTTTAATGGAGACCTCCAGGAGAGGCAGGCAAATAGCAGAGGAGAAGGTATTGACGGGTAAGGAGCATGCATTCCCCATGGTGCAACTCTATGTGTGAGAAGTTCATTTGATTAAGGAGGGGACCTGCAGGTGGCAGGATTAGAAAGAAAAAGTGGGCAAGCCGGCTGGTTTAAAATAGGGACCCTTCCCCTGCTTCCCTCTGTCTTTCCCCCAGCCACCCTTTGGGGGATCCAACACACAGTGGATCATCATCAATCTTGGCCTTGAGATCCCAGCTTTGTAAGTACATTTATTTCAATGTCTTTTTTTTGGGGGGGGGATATATGAGGATTGGGGCAGGATTAATGGACTTTTGCTTCCTTTGCTTTTTTTAAAAATCATTTTATTCCATTTTTTTCTTCCTTTCCAGCTCTGGAAGGGGGATGGCAGAGTGGGTGTGCATGCTTGGAAGATGGGCAGCTTTCTTCTCCCACCTCCGCTCACAATCCTCAAGTTGCATCAGCACTTACTAAAGACTAAGCACACACATCCCACCACCCACCACCATCCCTTTTTTAAAAAAAAACCTGGAAGGAAGAGGCAGTATATGAACTTCGCTTTTTTAGCTTTCCTGCAAATAGTTTTCCAGACCTCCATGGCAAGCAAATACTTCTCACTACCCAGGAATCCACATTTAAAATGATGTTTTTAGTAAAGACTCGGGCTCAGGCTTGAGATTCAAATCCAAAGACTTGTCAACATCCCTGATTCATGCTGTATATCCTTGCTTCCAATAGAGCCTGACCATAAATTACCAGGAAATTAATCCAGATACAATTTTAAAGGGTTTTTTTTGGGGGGGGGGAGGGTTTTCAACCCCTATATTTGGAGAAATATGTCTTTAAAATACCTCACCTTGTGCCATTTGTGAATAGGTTGAGAAAATTCAGACATAAATGCATATTTTATTTTCATGCTGTTCTGTATTTTTATATTTTTATTCCTTGTTGAGACTTTGCACAACAGGGCTAAATTATCTTGCCAAAAATATCTCCCAGCAGCATCAATTTTACTTGAAAAACTCAAACAAATCTGTGAAGAGCACCAACAGTGTAGAAACTTTAAGGAAAGATTCAGAAACTCCCCCATCCCCCCATTTTTGATTAGCATATATGTTAACCTCATCTCAGATTATTTGGCAATTATTTTAAGAGTCCTGTGACTGCTTACAATTTATCCAACAGGGCCATGCTTGGCGAGTCATTTTAGTTGGCAGTGTGTGGTTTTCCCTAGTACTCTTAGCTGATTGAATAATCTTCCTTTCCCACAAGAGGGCTCTCTGTCATTACTTTGAGTAGCAATTTTATGCAACTTGATCTCAATTACCTAGAAATCCATCACACATAATTGAATCCTGCCATTCTTAGAAAGTAGTATATCTTATCTTAAGCTGGCAAGCGGAAATTTGCCAGTTGTGCTCTGGACGTCAAGACTTTGGGACACTCTGTCATGCTTGTCGCTTTCTTTCTCTTGAGTGGGGGAAGGCAATACGTACATATTTTTTTACTCTTCCTTCTTCCTGCCAAAAGTTTTCCAAATCTACATCACTGTGCCGATAACTTCCATTTACCTAAGGATTTTGGAGTTGTGGGTGAAAGGACCTGAGGGGCACACCAAGGATAGGAAAATGGAACATCTGCCCTGTCTGCTTCATCTGAGCAATGGATAGTTTGAATCTGCCCCATCTAAGCTGCCTTGGGTCCTTTTGAAAGAGAAAGGTGGATCAATCCCTTCCCCTTCCCCTTCCCCCAGGCCTGCCCCCTTCTTGGCTAACAATACCATGGATTCTATCATCAACTCCCAAGTGCCATCTACGAGCTGGGTGGGTAATGGCTAAGATTTCTGTGATGACTAAGATTTCCTTGTTCCTCCTTTCTTTTCCATGCAGCCAATGAAGGATTGGTCTGGAGAGTCCATCTTGGCACCTCACTCATGTTGGCCATTCAGGGAACATGAGTAGGAAGAGAAGCCATTCAGACTGCACTTCTAGAGCTAGCTACATCCTGCTCTAGGAAGTCAAACAGATCTGGAAGCACCAACTGAGTATTTCTTGCTTTGTTCTCTCTTCAGCTTTCCCACACATATTCCTCCACCTTCCTCTCTAATGTCACCTGGCCCATAAGAGGCCAGCAAAGTAAGGATCTTGCCTGGTACTGAAGTTTCTTCCTCACCCTGATCTATTATGCCTTTTCCCATGGGCAAATACCAGTGGAAATGAAGATCTTGATCAGAATAATGGTAGGGCAAAAGCATTCAAATGTTTAATAGTGTTACATAGTGTTTAAGAGTACTCCTCTTGCAATCAGATCTGAAACTCTGGAAATGTGAAGTGAGTGTCCCCCAAAACTCCTGAGTTGTTATGAAGCCAATTGGTGGCAGAAGCAATGTGAGAGGCAACCACACTGTGCTCTTCAGCATGGCAAGAAATCATTTACTCTGGAGTGTACACGCTTCTGTTGGCTGTGAGCTCCACTTTGATAGGTGACTTGCACATATACAGATGATTCCCAGAATTTGGGGGATTATTGCAGTCAGCTTTTGAATAGGTTTCTTTTGAGATTTGAAATCCCAGTCCTGCTAGTAGCAGTGTGGACACTCAGGGTGTCTGCAGCATCTTGCATAGCAAGCCTTGAAGACTAAATGTGTCCTAATTTGTCTACTAGAGCTTCACCACTTTTTATAGTTTATTCAGTCAAGTGGTATCGTTTAAGATTGTTGTTTCGTAGATGTCCATGGAGTTTACAGCCTATTAATAATAAGAATATTGTGAATTTGTCATTAGGGAGCAATTTAGAAAGAGACATGAAGGTGCCAACCTTGAAGATGACAAAACTTTTGCTTAAACAACAAACAACCTTCCCTTCCAACTAGGGATAGATGGGAATTCCATTTGGCCTAGGGAATTTTTAATTTAAAATAATGCATACATTTCTTCATAAACAAAAAAACAAAAAAATAGAAGAGCTAAACAATTTGAGCTGGAGAGAAAAACAAAACTGACAGATTCAGCGCTATCTTCACACCTAAGGTCATATGCTGACAATGAAAGAAATATAAAATATTAACATCTCACTGCATGCAGTCTTAACCTGATTTTGAAATACAGCATATTGCAAGATTACTACCTACCATCCTCAAGGGTAGTAGTTATAATTTCCTGAGAAGATGGTCCTATCCCAGCTCGATTGCATGCCTGCACCACCATGCCGTATTGCGTAAATTTTTTAAGGTTATCTAAAGTATAAACTTCACTGTCCCCGGTGGTATCGATACTGATGATGTTGAACTGGAAATTGCCCCCTGCACTGTATTCCCGGTAACCAATCTGGTATCCACGAATAATTCCATTTTGCAAATGTTTCTTTGGAGCCTAAAGAAGATACAAGTCATGCATACTTTTAATGTTACAAAATCAGAAGCCAAGAACTTTCCACTCCCATGTTACAAAACCCAGACTATCAAGTGTCTACTAGCCAGCACTAGGTTGATAACAGAGACAATAGAAGAAAGAATTTCAAACTATGTTTAAAAATATATTTATATCAAACAGCATGTTTGAAGGTGCATGGGAACTAAGACTTTTCTTTCTTCTGCCAGGTAAAGAAAACTGGAAGCAATCACTGTAATGAATCTTCTGAAAAACTGTAGCAATCATTAGAGATTATAAGAAGCTAATAGTTTTATTCTAGATTTCCCAAACAGATGCTTGTAAACATGGACTTAAAACTCAACTAGGCATTGGCCATACATCTTATCTCCAATCCCAGAACTGCAGCAGGGGTGCCTTGTCTCTATTACTGATAAAGTCTGATCAATGCATATTTTAATATTTGCTAACATGGTCTTCAAATGTGATCAGTTCCCTTTTCAAATTCTGGTTTCCCTCTGACACTCTGCTTTCCAGTTTTTACATGATTGTTGGGAGGCAGCCTCTCTGTTTGGTTAGACTGTTAGTCACAGCTCTACATAACTAATGGGATGAATTATTCTTAATTTTTTTTTCAAAGCTCTGTTCAGAAAACTGTATCACTGATGGGGTCTGTTTGTTCAGTCACATATATATAGCATCCTATTCAAAAAAATAAGATGACTTTAGTTAACAAAACAATATGCTGTGGTTTTAGTATTCCTTTTGTTTACCATTTCTTAGAGTTGTTTTTATTTTATTTTATTTTATTTATTGCATTTATACCCCGTCTATATAGTCAAACAACCACTCTAGGTGGCTATATTTGTTTCATCTTTTTCAGTATTTGCATGCTTATTGTTTTTAGCTTTAAATAGTCTTTCAATGATATAAAGCACAATGGGTAATAAGCTTAAATAAGCAAAGTGAACTTTTAATAAATGTGCAGTCAGTCTTTAAGACACTGAAGATCACAGACTGCCTCCGTCTCTAAAGAATGCCTTTATTGTCTACCTAAAGTGACAACCCAAGATAGATCCTACAAAGTCACCTCAGAGCATGACAGATGCAGGCAGTAGAAAGTGCTAACATTTTAATCAGAGGTGTCAATATGCCCTTAGCTATACATGTCTTCCTGGAAATAATATTTTTCTGCTTAGAGACAATTAAGTAGATACATTGAAAGAGCCGTCCCTCAAGGAGGTAAGAGGGACGGCTTGCAGACAAAGGGCCTTTTCGGCAGCTGCCCCCAGACTATGGAATGCCCTCCTGACTGAGATTCGTCTGGCGCCGACACTGATGACATTTCGGTGCCAGGTCAAAACCTTCCTGTTCCAGAAGGCTTTTAACTGAAATAATATTAGCTGTGGGTCTGATGGCAATTTTATATATATATTAACTGTATTTTAATTGTACATATCTTTATTGTATTTTAAATGCTGTAAGCCGCCCAGAGACCTTTGGGTAGTGTGGGCGGCATATAAATTAAATAAATAAATAAATAAATAAATAAATAAACAAACAAACAAACAAACACACTGGAGCAAAAAAAGAGGCGATTCCTGACTCAGGGATATATGATCCCTACTCTGCATTTAGTTATTTCCTGTCAATTATAGGAGCCTCATGGTGCAGTGGTTAAACTGCAGTGCTGCAGTCAAGACCCTGCTCATGACCTGAGCTTGATCCCAATGGATTTAGATAGCCAGCTCAAGATTGGTGAGCTTTACATTCTGAGATGGTGGGATTTATATTCTAGTGCTATGATCTCAGAAAAAAAAGAGCATTGGTAGGACCTCTCACACATGGATGGAAGCCCTCTGCCACCTGCAGTCTTCCCTCTCTTCCTTTTCCAAGGCAAGGCTTTTTCGATTCCTTCCAAAGCAGAGGTTAACACAGGATTTCAAGTGTTGGTATTCAACACTCAGGAAGCTCCCTGAAAATCCCACTTCAATTTGTGGATGACCAGAAGGAGCAAACAACATCTCTACTAATTATGGATGAACTCTAGTTTTACAATTTATCTTGTTTTCTCCTGAAAAATTAAAAATGGGAAGACTTCCATTTTTTTCAAGTGGTTATTGTATAGTGGTTATTCTGGCATCAAGTGTCATATTTTGGAAAACTTGTATGTCTTGGAAAACATATGGCCTTATGCACAGTGTTGTAGAGGTAATTTGGAAGTGCTGGTCCTCTGCGTGGAAGTCCTTTCCTCAATAAGGGGAGTCCACTGCATGAGTTCATACCAAAAAATCAGAATCAGGCCTTTTGGTAAGCTAATGGATTCAATTGTTCATTCAAAACCAAAGCACCCTCAGATTAGTTACCTAGTTAACCACCTTCACATACTTTATGTTACTTTATGGATAGTTTGGAACAATATTCTGTTCTTGGGAAAATTCACTCCCCTTCCCCAACTACTGTGAGTACTACAGCTAAGCTCAAAGGAAACAGGGAAGCCAAAAGGGTGATGGTAGTGGGTGATACCATAGTACCTGCCACTCAGGAAATTCTGGAGCTTTCCCCCTGTGAGCCCTGATGCCACTATATGACTGCTTAAACATCATAAACCTTTTGCAGCCTTACAGAAGATGCACACACGACTTTTACCTCTGGAACCTCTAAAATCCTGCTCAGGTGTTATGCTAGAAACAGTGGACAGATGAAGGGGTGGTAGGAACAGGGATATGTGTTTGATGCCTCATTGTCTATCCCTCCACTCCACATGTAAGTCAGCAAGACCTTCACATGTTTAATTTGAAACTCTGCAACAGAGTTTGTAAGATTATTCAGCTGGTTGGGAGTCTTTCATATTTATGATGATTTGTCAATAATTTCTTTCTTTATGTAGTCCAACATGAAATATGTCACACAGGTTCAGATCTATCACATGCAAGTAATTTGCTAAAAATTAACTAAAATAGCACTTTCCAGAGACATGCATTATCGTTCAAAAGTTCCAGTGTCATTTTGATATAAATGCTGATATCTCATGGGAAAAACTGATTCTGGCCATGGTCCCTCCATGCAGGAAGTCTCTCTCACACACAAAATTGTTATTCATAGCTTTTTTCCCTCTATATTGCAGATGCATTTCTAATAATATAAAAGTCAAAACGCCACAAGAACAGTAACATATAATGGCATGCAGATTTAATTTAGCATGCAATTACATTTGGTTGCAAAGTAATTTTTGAAAATGTAGTTGCAAGCAGTGTACAAATAAATTCATCAAACTATGCAAGGCAAAAAAAAACAAAGTGTGCTGCTAATATACTGCCCCATAGCACTTTCAGCAATCCCTGGGAGGTTTACACTTTAATTATGCAGACTACATGTCGCCTCCCCAGTGAGCTAGGTACTCAATTTATGAATCTCAGAAGGATGGAAGGCTCAGTCAACCTTGAGCCGGCTACCTGAATCGGTCAGGATTGAACTTGTGTCATGAGCAGAATCTTGACTGCAGTACTGCAGTTCATCCAATCCAAAAGTCTGCTATGTTTCCTATGTTTCTCCTTTTTTGTTTGCCTCATGGGCTTATAATTCTGTAACACAACAAGACAACATCTTCAAAAAGTTTAAGAGGCTAGGTTCCCCACCCCCTCAGTATGTGTTATTTACTTACCTTCCACGTTACCCGAATGCTCTGTGAAGATATGGGCTCCAGTTGCACATCTTGAGGTGGTCCATCAGGAGCTGATAAGAGATGAATAGATGAATCTACATGCCAAGCAATTCTCTTGGAAACAATGTAAAAAAAACCATACAAAATGTAACAATACAATGTGCAACATATACTCTAAGACTGTGGTATATAGAAAGTGGCACTTTTTCCAAATTGTAGCTGCACAACAGAATGAACAATAATAAAAACCACAAACAATTAGTCCAATGTTCCATCTAATTTTCTGTCCCATTGTGTGGGAGACTTGCTCCTTGTGCAGTGCAGGTAGGTGGGGTTTCATTCAAAACAGAAAGTAAACTGGCTGCCGGCTGCCAGCTGCCCATGTGGGTTCCTGATGGAGCTCTGGGCAAGCACATGCATACACAGCTTAGGGAGAATGTTGCATTATATTCAGGTATTCTTCCCCATGTAATTACCATCTATGACTAGCATGTCCTTTTTTTAGGGAGCTCAGTGTTCCATTTGAAGGTCTTCCAATCCTCCTCTTGATGTGTCCTCCATTTTAAAGGACAGATCATTTCAAATTTGATTTCAAGATAACCATAAGGAGAAAGTTCAGCAACTTTAAAACGGCTTATTCATCATGAACACCTGGACAGCAAACTTAGCATACACAGAGATCATCTGGTCACTGTTTTCTCCACTTGAGAGAGATGCAGGGCAATTCTGTTTAAATTATAAAATATATAAACTAGCATATGCAGTTTTATGCCACTCGGTTTCATTGTTTTGCCTTCCTGTTGGGTGATCTGTAAATAAATGTGAGCTCTGTGGCACAGAGGTTGACATGACCTGAGTCTGACCTGATGGGTTCGAGTAGCCAGTTCAAGATGGACTCAGCCTTCCATCCTTCTGAAGTTGGTACAATAAGTACCCAGCTTGCTGTGAGACAAAGTGTTACAGTTGTGCCCCACTTAATGATTACCCCATATAACGATGAATCCGCTTCACTACGATGTTTTTGTGATTGCAATTGTGATCACAAAACAATGTTTTAATGGGTTTTTATCGCTTTGCGACGATTGGTTCCCTGCTTCGGGAACCGATTCTTCGCATTACAACGATCAAAACAGCTGATCGTCAGGTTTTCAAAATGGCCACCGGCTGCTCAAAATGGCTCCCTGCTGTTTTTAGGAGGCATTTTTCGCTTAACAGGCACCCGAAAATGGCTGCCATATGGAGGATCTTCGCTGGACGAGCAGGTATTCAGCCCAGTGGAACGCATTGAACGGTTTTCAATGCATTTCAATGGGCTTTTTTTACTTCGCTTGATGATGTTTTCGCTCTACAGCAATTTCGCTGGAACAAAATAACGTCATCAAGTGAGGCACCACTGTACTTGCATAATTACATTGTAAACTGCCCTGAGAGTGCTCTAGGGTGGTATATAAGTCAAAATAATAATAGCGATAATAATAAATGGCTATCCTACTGGGAAAGTAGGACAAACCCCTCTCCCCATCGCCCATGTATGCCCTCATTCCCATTCCTGCAGTCCCTCCCAATCCCTGCCACCACATATTGGCCATGAGCTACTGCAGTAAGGAGTTTTTGCTCTTAGAATAGGCTCTATGTGTGATTCCATTCCTTGTTATGGAGAGTTGCTAACATTATTCATTATAAGGAACAGATGAAGGGCCTAAGAGCCAAAAAATGGTAGCAGCAACTTAACAACAGGGCAGTCTATATTATACATTTTTTCTCTTGTTGAAGGAGCTCTCTTCGTATGTTCTCTTTGAATTAAAGATGCTAACAGCCTGCAGCCACAGGAGTGTATGATATACAGTGCACACCTTTGCCAGGGTGGCTTCCCTTCTTCCTGTCCCCTCTTTCTGCTTAATATTTAATTACGTTGTTTTTGTAAAGCCTTCATTACATTCTCTGCCCTCAGGCATCTCTCAGATGTTTGGGAATCCATACTCATTTAACACGCCTGAGGTAAAAGCAATGAACTAAAATAAACAATGACAAATGGTGGCACTTCCATGCTCTGTGAATGTGTTCCCAGCTGATACCAAGGCAACAAATATTGTGGCTTCACTGAAGCCTTGGCCTTCTCTCCTCTGATTTCACCCTGAATAAATCTGGAGCTTTTGAGGATGGCTTCATGTAATTGACCTTTCACTCAGAATGGATGGCTTCGTAATGAGAGCAAAAGGAAGGGTCAATCATCAAAAAACTAGGCCACAGCAGCAGAGAATATAATGTGACGTTCAGGTTGCACATTATTAATGGAGAAGCTAATCTGCAAATTAAGTCCAGTTGATTGCGCTGGCATGTTAATTTTCAGCTAAATGAAAATCCACAGATAAGAAATATTATTGATTAAACAGGAGAAAAGAAGAATCATTGGACTGCTCTGTATCCACATGTATTATCGAGGGAATTAGCCCATCCATTAGGCAAAGTGAGGCATCCTCCTGGGGAGGCTCTCTGAGTTGGGTATCGGTGGCTTAGCTCTGGCCTGGTTCCGTTCCTTCCTCGCCTCTGGAACACCCTACCTCCTGAGATTCGCGCGGCTCCCTCGCTGGGCATTTTCAAGAACCAATTAAAAACATGGATGTTTTGGCAGGCCTTCCCATCAGGTAATTCCTGACACCCCCTTTTCCCTTTTCTTTTACCTCTCCTTTAGTTATTTTGTTTAGTATTCCCGTTATGAAAAATTGTTTTTATATCTATATTCATTGTATGATTTTTTTAATGTTGTTAGCCGCCTAGAGTGGTCCTGATACGACCAGATAGGCGGGATATAAATAAAATAAAATAAATAAATAAATAAAAATAAATAAAAATCTGCCTCAGATGGCAGAATTGTGCCTCTCCTACCCACCCTCTGAAGCACCCTTTGCTGCTTCAAACACCCCAAGTGTAGCCCTCCAAATGTTGTTGAAAAGCAAGAGCTGGCATTCCTCTCATTGGCAATGCTATGCAGGATTTCAATTCTGGTGATTGCTGGCTTTTTTGCTCCATCAAGGGAATCCTTCCAGGACTATCATGGAGACTGAAAAGTTTCTACAGCAACAGTGGGGAGAAATGCTGAGCACTAGTGTGTGTGCATGTCCCTCCTTCCTTGCTGATTTGCTGAGCAAGATTACCTTTGATTGCCCTGCACACTTGAGCCTGAAATTATTCTTCAGAGGGCCTTCCTACTACGTATTTTATTTCTCTGGCCAATTTCAGGGTTTTATGCTGGTCAGTTTCAAATGTGTGTATGCCAACCCTATGGAAGGCTGACAATCACTGAGGTCTTCTCAGCACTGGGTCAATACTCTTCCAGGGTTTATAAACCCTTTGGATAATACATTGGTGCTTTTAAAATTCTTGTACAGATGTTGTCCTTGGCAATTGGTTTCATATTGAGTTTAGTCCACAACAACATCTTTTGTTTTAGATTTTATGTTACATTTTACTGATCTTCTACTTACGATCTCATCTTTATTTTGTGAGCTTTAATACTAGGTGGTATAGAAATGTAATAGTTATATGACTAAGGCAATGTACGTAATGATAGCCACTCTGGTTAGTTACAGTGCCACACATTTTCAGCAATCCTTCCATATTTTCTGTCCTTTCTTCTCACAGATTTTTGCTCCTCTGTTCCAGAGCTGTGTGGCTTCACCAAGTCTAGTTCCAAGAATCAGTTGCATATCTTTGCCCTATACACCAAAGAATGCGTATATCTAGATGTTTTGTGGTTGAATTTTCTGGCTACAGATATACTGCACACCACTGAAGATAAAAATAAGGAATACAGAATGTACACAAAACAGGCATTAGTCAAGTTGACAGGTAACGTAAATGCTGCCTGGGAGGAACAGGATGAGAAGAATGTAAGTGGAAAATTGTGAAGGATGCAGAATATGTCACAATATAGTCTGTATATGCATTGCCTGTTTACATAGTTTCATTGTGCTATGTATATTCTTAACTCTGAATTTAATCTGCTTTTAAATTAAAGGCACAGAAACTTGTCATAAAATTACAACTACTAATAACCCAAGTTTCCACTCGTACTATTTTCAGCTAAGAAGCTCACTTATAGTGATTAATCTACCCTGAAATGTACTTTCTGTGAAGTCATGCTTTCCCCTTCTTTAGCACACCAATATTCCAATCTCGTTTTATTTCTTGACACCCTTAATTCCCACCCAACACCAAGATACTTCACTTCTACCTAGGAAGGTGGAGTTCTGCATGCCACATGGCTCTTTTAAGTTACGGTTAGAAATGCTGTTCTTTTGACATTGTAGTAAGATTCAGCTGTCAAGCCACACCTATACTTCCAAGAAAGACTGTTGTAAGTAAAGAAAGTTGTTGCTTCACAGCAACTTCAGTCATTTCACATTTCCCAACTGTCAGAAGTAGCAGGAAGGCTCCTGGCAGTGGCTAGCCTCTTGACCGGGCACTGCTCCATGTCCCACTTTAATGTAAGAATTCTATGTAAGCAGGATGTGTGAAACAGGCAGTTTCATGGCAGTTTTCAGATAGCCCATAATAAAAAAAAAACTTGTGGGTTATCTGAAACATGTAGTTACTGCTGCAGTCATGGGAGATTAAATAAAATGCCAAAAAAGATGTTTGAGTTGCTACCAAATTCTAGTGGCATAATTCTGTTAGTAGCAGCTATGGCAAAAGGGGGATGGAGGAGATTTGGCCACATACAGCCCTTAAGGCAAATACTAAGATCTAAAATTACATAGGAACACCACTACATGGCCTTATGCTTACGGTTTCCTTCTCAACCAAGTCACTAAGGCCAGAAAGAAGGATTAAACTAGCTTAGGTTCAAGCCTGTGTAAGGCACAGACTACTGTTTATTTGAAGAACTTGCATGTGAGATCAAACCTAGGCAATAGACTGCTGCGTTTATAAAATATTACCACAATGTCTTCTTAGGCTACTATGGAATTTTCTTAGCAGCCTAAACAATGTGTAACCTAAAAAGATTTCTTGAAATCTTTAGCCTGGTATCAATGTGTTAAAAATGCCCAGTATGCCAAGTAGCCGCCTAGAGTGGTCCTGACCCGATCAGATAGGCGGGATATAAATTAAATAAAAAAAAATCCAACAATGGATAATACAAAGGGTTAGATTTAACTGTGCCCAGTATATAGAACATACCTGCTTCATCGGTTGTAATGGTGAGCTCATTGCTGGCTTCACTCTTGCCAATGCGATTTTTTGCATACATGCGGATGTTGTAGGTAGAGGAAGCATGAAGGTCAATGATTGTGGCCTGGTTCAGCTGTGGGGAAACATCTTTGGTTCTTTGGACAGAATCCCAAGAATCTATTTAATGAAAAATGTGGGAAAGATCATCAATCTTCCTCTGTTCCTTTCTTCTTTTCTTTTTTTATCAGAATACAGCAGGACCCTTCATATCTGCAGGAGATTGGTCCCAAGCCCACCCCACAGATGTGAAAACTGCAGATAATAGCAAATGCTACACATTGCATGGTAAAAGAAAAATATTTCAGAAAAAAAAACCATGCACATTAACAGAAATGGTCACTAGAGGGGACCAGAGGTCATCCTATGTATTCTTCAAGAACAATGATTCTTAGTATGGTCTCTGACTCCCTCTAGTAGCCAGTTCTTGTAATACATGGGAAAATAATTATTTTCTGGATTTTTTCTTTTAGATTTTTAATATTTTCAGCCCACAGATAAGTGTATCAATGAATACTGATCCTGAAGATACAGGGGTCCTACTGTAACAAACAAAACATGGTTTCAAAAGTGGATAACACAGGTATAATGGACTATATTAAATGGGAAAACAACATTCAACCGATAATAGAAAATAGATTCACACAGAAATTGATGTTTGTTTGTTTGTTTGTTTGTTTGTCTGTTTGTTCAGCTTCTATACCACCCATTTGGCTGGTTTACCACGATACCAAAAAAAATTAATAATAATTAGGACACCAAATAAAGACATACGTCAAATTATAACTATCAACAGTAGGTATAGACTCAAAGTAAAGCAAAACCAAACACAAATCAAAAGTCTAAACATAAATAAGAGACACACCATAAAATAAAACCAACATAGATATAAATGATTAAGAGGTAAGGTGGCAGAACAGAAATAAACACCGGAGTGTGCAGTTTCTCGAACTTGACATTCAGATGTCAAGTCCGGGAAATTCTGCCTAAAAAGCCACGACTTCAAAGACCGTTTAAAAATTCCCAGTGAAGGGGCCAGATGAGTGGGAGATCGTTCCAGATGTGATGAGCGACAGCTGAAAAGGCCTGGTTTCCAGTCTTCTCCTTCCAGGCCTCTTTCAGGGTCAGTGGTCTCAACCTCTCTGCCTGAGAAGATCAAATACAGTGGTGCCTCACTTAGCAATGTTAATCTGTGCAGCAAAAATCGCTGCTAAGCGATATTAAAAAGCCCATAGAAATGCATTAAAACCTGATTAATGCGTTCCTATGGGCTAAAAACTAACCTTAAAGTGAAGATCCTCCATGGGGGGGGGCATTTTCGGTGCCTCTAAAGCGAGGCAAAACAGCAAGCGGCCATTTTGAAACCGCTGATCAGCCAGCCAAAAATGGGGACTTTGCGATGATCGCTTCCCTGCGATCATCGCAAAGTGAATTTTCCGCATAGGGACCATTGCAAAGCGATCGCTCTTACGATGGCAAAAATCCATCACAAAGCAATTTCATCGCTATACGGAGCGATCGCTATGCGAGGCACCACTGTAGGTCAGACAGATCTCATTGGGAGGAGATGTTCTTTTTTTTTTTTAAATATATATTTATTTAGGGCAGATCTCATTGGGAGGAGATGTTCTGTCAGATATCGAGGTCCCAAACCGCTTAGTGCCTTATATGTCAAAGTCATCACCTTGAAGCTGGCACGAAAATGAACAAGTAACTATCTTCTATAATAGTCATCTTTCTGTTTGTATGTGTTAGTATGCATCTCAATGTGTTTCGGTACATCTGTGTAAATATTTATTCATAAATCTAGTAGTTTTCTAAAAGGTTACTGCGTTGGTCTGTTTCAAAAACAAAATAAAAAAATAATGTCATGGCACCTTTAAGAGTAACAAATTACATTCCACTTTGTAAGACACATCAATAGTCTAGTAGCTTTCAGTCACCTTCAGAGTGTCTCTTAGCTTCAGTTTATCACAGTGTTCAGGTGTAAAGAAGTCATTCTTGAAGAGAAGAGCAGATTGAGACAACAATCCTATATATCTGTACCTGAGAACACAATCTTCTCCATACATACTCAACAGGGCTTACTTTGCTGCTGAGTAGACATTTAGAGGACTGCATTATACATACATTACAGAACACACACTTTCCTATCTAAAAGAACCATTGTATGATACTAGAACATGTACCATCTGAGTCCATTGAACTTTTTATGGCTATCATACATGTACATGTATTATGTAGAACTGCCCATACACTAGCTTTGCCTGTAAAACAATGGTTTGTGCCTAAAAATAGAGAACTAATTAGCATCCTAATCAGCTCTTGGAGACTAATTAGTTCAAGCAAATCCAGATAGAAGAAAACAATCTTATATTTCTGCTCTACTTACTGTGCATGTATGCGATGTGGAGAGGTGAACTGGCAATTACCACAGGAATGCTTTAAAGACATATCAGCTCTGAAAGTTGTTTCTGTGGAAATTAACTACTCTGGAACAAGTCTATGGGCTATTACAACTATTAATTAAAGAGATGAGATAGAATTTTTTTGGGAAATATTGAGCAAATGGAAGAAAGTTCAGCATTTATTTTTATTTTATTTTTTGTAAGCATTGCCACATGTCTTCTATATCATGTTCCATCCCACAGATCAAGCAAGGATTCCTTCCTGACCATTAGAGCCATGGGACAAGTATGAATCAAAAAGGAATAAGGAAGCTGTTCCACAAGTGTGAAGCACCATTCCTTTAAAAAAATGTTTTTCCCTTTGCATCTCTCTCTCTCTCCCCCCCTCTCTCTGTGTCTATGTGTGTGTGTGTGTGTGAGAGAGAGAGAATAAGGAAACTGTTCCACAAGTGTGAAACTCCATTCCTTTAAAAAAATATTTTTCCCTTTGCATCTCTCTCTCTCTCTCTCTCTCTCTCTCTCTCTCTCTCTGTGTCTATGTGTGTGTGTGTGTGAGAGAGAATGCCAACTAAAATAGATTTCTGAACAAAAATCTGTACTTCTACTTCTTCTAATATGGTAGTAATCATATGCACAAAGAATAATTCCAGCTGCACCAGTTTAGACAATTAGTCTTCAGATCATTCATACCTCAGAGACAGGTAACCTGGCACTTTTGAGATTTCTAGGACAACTAATGGGAGCTTTAGTCCAAAAAATCAGGAAGATCTGCTAAAAGCGCTCCAGATGTTTCTGTGCAAACAGAATTTCACCACTGTAATAAAATACATGGTAGGCCAATTTAATCCAGTGTCATGTGGAACTATAGTAGACTTACTGAGTCAATAGGACTTGAATGAGAATTAATTTAATGAATCCTCTTCATTTGGGTTTAATTTATCCCTCTGTTAATGACAGAAAGTATTCTAATGTGTAACTGTTGTTAAATATGCTGTGTAACATGTACAAAATTTCCATTATTTGTTTAACTCTTCAAGAACTCTATTGTATACGAGTGTGGGATGTTGCTTCTGTGTCCCTGATTCAAAACACCAGGTAACGTCTGACTCTGCAATATCATGCCTGCATTACCAGTAGAAAAAAAGATGCCGAGTTTAACACAGCAAAGGCTGGCAGGATCAACGGTCAAGGCAGTCTAAAAGATCTTTTCTTGTATTAGCTAACATTCAGAAACAGCATGTTATACAGTATGCATGGAACACTATTATATGTATCCTCATAGTGAACATGGGTCTCTTGAGTGTCAAAACAGCTCAACTGAAACATCAGAAGAAAGCATGAAGACTTTTACATGCAGAGAGGATGCTGGGGGTGGGTAATCATTTTTTACTTTTACTTTACTTTTATTGAACTTATACCCCACCCCTCTAGACAGAGCCTACTCGGGGCGGCTTACACGAGTAATAACACACAATAAAAGAACATACGTAATAAAACCTACTAACAACTAATGTCTATATACATTATCAAGATGGGATAATTAAGAAACAGAAAATCAGTTAATTGACTAGAGGGAAGGCCTGCCTAAAGAGCCAGGTTTTTAAATTTTAGTGGACTTATCAGGTTTAGATATGTATATCTTGCACATAAAGGGTGAAAAAAATTCCAAAGGTTTCTCTTAAAAGCCAAAAGGAATTGGAAACATCCACTTAACTCAAATATGAAAGAGAAGCAAAGTCTCAGGATGTAACAAAAAGAGGGTGGTGGTTGCATTTTAAAAACTGCCCAATGCTTTTCAGGGCCACTCAATTTGTGGCCTTCCTTGGGGACGATAATTCTGACATGTGTAATGGAGATCTCTTTCAGTCTCATTAATGAGAATGATTTCTGTGCAAATTGAGCAGAACTGTGATAGCTGCAGCTTTGTTTGTATGGACTTGTGGAGATTAGAAGCAATGAATGGGTAGTATGTATCTGTTTGAACAGTCAGTTTGTGGTTGCTGTGTGAATGAGTGTGTTTATTTGTGCTTCTCAAAAAGAGAGGGGATACCAAGATATCATGTACACATTTCCTGACAGACAAAACAACTTTATTTGTCTTGCTTTTGCTTTGGATGTGAGGAAATGCAGAGGGTCTGAAAATTCCTTTTTAAAGATGTCTCATCGTATTTCGTCAGTTTAAATCAACCCAAAAGAGGAATTGATTAAGTATTCTTCACATCCCTATTCCAGATGTATTGTGACAGTAGTTCCCATCATTGCTTACCAATGCACTATGACTTACCTGTGTTGTAGCCAAACAACAGCTGGAGGGTCAAACACTCTCCAGCCCTAGTTTTAACAGCTAATTAAATGGCTTTTGCTACATGCTCATTCATAAATCCATTACTACCTTCTCCTGTGCATTTAAAAAACCTGCACGATAAACAGCATTTAAAGATATAGTTCCAAGTGTCTTTTCTCCCAAACCTGCATTTCAGGATGCACATATGAAGCCAAGAATACAAAGTTCCTATTAATATGAAATTTAAGAGATAACTATGTTCCATGTCACATTAGACTGGGGGAAGAGGGTGAAGCTCGCTTCTGTTCATATCAGAGTTTGCAAAGTCTGGCTTCTTCAGGCATTGCTAAATTAGGAGAAAATTGTGCGATAAAGGAGAAACAGGCTGAAACTATATGATACAGGTGGCACGTAGAAGTGAGAATTCC